GAGACTAATAAAAGACGGTCATACATAGAGCGTTGGGGTACCCATGTCGTACTAAAGAAATTGTGCTTGCACCACAACGTATATTCTTCCATTGTGTTGAGTAGCCCTTTTTCCCAGTCCAAGTCGGCCTTCTCCTTCGCCCAACCCCGTAAGTGATCCATGCAGAAGCTGACTCTGTTTTTCTCATCTGTAATGGACAGATTTTTTGTTTCGAGAAGGCGGTTCATGTTACTCAAATATTCTTGAGCGGCCCGGTCTTGTTCTGCGTCGCTGAAGTACATTGTCGGGTTGAAGGTCAAGGTCGACGTGTCTTTATTTGTCTCTGCGCTCATTGTAGTTTCTCCCATGGTCGTAACTAAGCGGCGCTACCAACTATTATGAAACAGCCTGGAGCTGTCTCTTAAACTACGAGTAGATCGGTTTATAGATAGTTCAGCCTTAGTGGATAGGCCTAGTCTATCTGTCGTATTCTCGATGTCTAAAAAGTGTTATCCTTCTTCAGGGATGTCTCAGCCTCACGCTCCTTTATAGTTCGGAACCCTTCTATACAGTAGGTGAGGGGTAACCCCGATCAGGAATGTTTAGACTCTTCGTCCTTCGTATTATACAGGATGCCCAGAATCTATAATCTGGCTCATGTCGTATCATAACATACTATAAGCTTCGTTCCTCATGGCCCAATGGTCAAGGCGTCTGGCTACGAAAGTAACCACTTCTGTTGGAACCAGAAGATTCCAGGTTCGACTCCTGGTGGGGAAGCTTCTTTTTTTCTCGACACCATTTCCACGCCTTCACTCGGGGGTTTTTTTTGCCACCGCCAAATCGCCAATCTACGAAAGCCAGATCTGACAACTAATACGATGCAACACCGCGCCGATGCCTTCGCAACTCTGTGTCTTGATTCAACCAGATTCTGTGAAGCTCTGATTCTACTTCTTTTATGAAATCTTTAATCACACCACATTTTTTAAATCTCTATTCTTCACCATATTGTTTGGTATTTCCAGAGTTCACGCTCCGTGGGCTTGCTGCATCTTGCCGGTATCAACTTCCCTCGCCATTCGCCCGGTGCGCCCCGCCTGGTCTGATGGCTCCATTCTTCGCGCCATTATTCATCAGCCTGCCGGGCCGGCCTATTCTGATGAATTAAACCTCCAGGTCTGCTGTAGCACGCCAGGCATTCTCTCACAGAAACATCAAAATAGAAAAAGTATAAACACATACCTCTTGCTTTCTAAGACATGCTTGCACAACCCATCAACATCCAGAAATGGATCGAAGAAAACTCTCACTTGCTCCAGCCACCCGTGAACAACTTCTGTCTCCATAGGGACGGTGCCACGGTTATGATCGTGGGAGGCCCCAACGAACGCACCGACTATCACATCAACCAGACCCCCGAATATTTCTACCAATTGAAGGGGCATATGTGCTTGAAGGTCATTGACGAGGGCCAGTTTAGAGACGTGGTCATCAACGAAGGCGATTCCTTCTTATTGCCCGGCAACGTGCCTCATAACCCGGTGAGGTTTGCCGACACTATCGGCTTGGTTGTAGAGCAGGACCGGCCCGAGGGCATGAACGACAAAATCAGATGGTACTGCCGTGCATGCAAGGAAGTGGTGCATGAAGTTGAATTCTACTGCTCGGATTTGGGCACCCAGGTGAAAGGTGCCATTGTCGCTTTTGACGGTGACATGGCGGCCCGCACATGTGAGAAGTGTGGCACCTTGAACTACTCCAAGCCGCAGTAGGCTAGGTGTCCAGGTACAATGTAGCGAACGATGGGGAGGGGCAGGTTTTTGTCGATATGAATAAAACGGCGCGGTGATGTCTTTCGGGTACTGGCTGTTCCGAGTCCAGTGTGTATTCCTTCTATTCGATCTGTTCATTCCGTAGTCTCGATTCAGTCTCGGCCGCAGTCTCTAGAATCCTACTCAAGTCTGTTCTACTCCCACTCCAATTCTAATCTGGAGTCTTTTCCCCCACACTGCATTCACTATACCTTATCTCCATCTCGGCCCCCATCTCTAACTGCAACTATGCCATCTCAGGCCTCGACTCTGGCTTCCGGTGCAGTCCTCGCCATCTATCACACTCTCTCCATCTATTCCGTTTTCTCCCTGTATAGCAGCTCGCCCCTCTCAAACACCCAGTCCACGGCATGCTCCACAGGTTCGTCAAACGCATACGGCAACAAGGGCACAATTCCCAAGCCTATGGCCACGGGTCCGTATGTACGAAGCAGTCTGACATGGCTTTTCTGAAAAAGAAACGACAGGTAGCGGACAGCAGAATGGATGGTAAACGCTGGGAGGACCATGGAAGCCAAGCCCTGGAAGATGCATCGCTTCACGAACATCACGCGCCAGTCGGACTCGGCCATATTGTCGCTGGTTTCTTTCTTGTATGCTGCTGCTGCCGCAGGGTCCGCCACAGACACCGGGTCCCATGGTTTTAAGCCTGGAGTGTACCGGCCTTCTGTCTTCATCTTGACTTTCCAGGCTGCATATGACAGGTCGCCGAGGAGATATGCCCACGACACGCCGTAGCCCAAAGTCACAAGCACCGGGTGTGCCACGGGCCGGAAGCTCTCGCCGATATCCGAGGTGTACGCCACGTACCGGTGGGAGGCCAAAAGAATTGTGCGCAATCTATTGGCGTACGCGGCGTATCTGAATTTGCCCTCTTCCAGCAAGGCCGTTTGGTGGGCGACGGTGTTTTGATGCGTGGAGCTGTCTTCGGAGTCGCTCATTCTGCAATGATTTTCTAGTATTCTGGTGGTGGGTGGTTTCGGGATTTGAAGATGGGGCGTGGTTTCAATACCGTGCGTGGTTCCAGTACCGTGCGTGGTTCCAATATTGGGTGCAACTGTCTGCAATGGGAATACAAATCACAGTGCAAAAACAAACTGTGCAACAGACCATACACTGAGGGGTCGGAAATAAATAAGGAACCCACTTGGAACGAGCAGGAACTGTCTTGAGATTGACACACGTACGTGGTGAAAGCAAGCAGCCGACTGGCAGAGAGCAAACCTGCTGCCCGGGTGACCAGGTGCATCGGGCCGCAAGCATTGGAGTTGGGGCCGCGAAAAGCGCGGGCGCATTCGGGGCCAGACAATTGGCTTGGGGCCTTTTCGACAAGAGCCCGAGTCTCGATTAATGTGATACAGGCGGATTTGCTGGCGGTTGTCCGGTGTGCTTTGGGCTATTTGGATTGCAAGAGGGATCTGGCCACATGGTCGCTCGGCATTGGATCGGATAGCTGTTGCCCGGGGGAATACCTACGTGGCCACAGAGCTGGTGTATTTTCTAGCAAGACCAGGGTTTGTTTTCATGAAATCGGAGAGTATTATAAGAGCCGCGTTGAGCCTTCGGGCTAGAACCCAAGAAGGAGGGAGGCTGCTTTTCCAACATTGGCATTAAGCTTTAAGAATGATTGCTGGGCCGCACTGCATAGTCGCATAGGCACCTAGCTGGTTAATAACCACACCCACCGTGACTACGGTTTTTTTTTTGCGTTCCAAGTCGGCAGCTGCGCTCGGGGCTTCTTGTTGTTCTGGCGGGGCCTCGGCCTGGCCAGAGGTCTGTGTTGATTTTAGACCGCATTTGTAGATTTGCCATTTTGCGAAGCCTGGGCAAGTGCGCGTGGAAACAGGAATGGAGAGAAAGGGTCCGCAGGAAGGTAATATTGCTCATTTAGGAGCACACTAAACTCTAATTGACCATGTTCCGGTCGCACAAATCTAGTCGGATCGGCCAATGGTACATTATCCCACTCGCTTACAAAAGCCAGGTTGAGTTGGCCTGCGCCAGAAGCCTCTTCAGCTAGAAATGCATCGTGCCTCAATGTGAAGTGCCAGTAACGAAGTTTGGAGAAGTAAGCCAAAACAATTGCTCCGTGCCCTGGCGCGTGGTGTGATGTCGGATGCGCTTACAAAAACATGGAAGCATGCCAATAATTCGTCCATGCTCGGGCCGCTCTGTCCTGATGCACTGGTTACATCGCACCGGCCCAGGCCATGGCACCTCACGCCATGCCGGCCCTGGAAATCTCATTGACCAGCCTTGCTGCAGCAGCGCAACCCGATCGCGCCCTAAAAATTGCACCAGAAACTACGCCCAAGCCACTCCACCCGAGATCCACCAACCAAAGATCCACCAACCAGATGCAACAGACAGCCAAGACCAGATAAAAAAGAACCCACCAGGGCCTGGACTAGCCGGACAAAGCCAGGCAAAACACCAAAGAAAATGTCGAAATAAATGAAACCAATCAAGCAGCCCCGAAAGAAGGCCGGAATCAATCGAAACCACCGAAAAACCAAATAAAAAACGGTGGTAATCAATCGAAACCACCAAAAATCATGCCTTCATCTGTGCCGGTGGCCGGCCCCACGCACGGCCCTGTAAGCGGATATTTCTGGCACCATCACGCGCATTGCGAGCAAGGCCCGGGAATGCCGGCAGTGTCTCCGCAATTCGGAGCGCCGCGAGCGCAGGCCCGGACCACCGCATGCAAAATAATCAAGCAGGGTTTGCGAGCCCAGGGACCGCAATTTAGGGCCTGTCCCAGCAAGCACCATTGCGTGTGTTTCTTATTCTGATGCCACCTGTTTTTGATCTCGTAGTTTAATTCTGACTTCGTGGTTTAATTTTGTTCAGCGTGCTGCATGGGACTTTGCCTCAATACGTCTGCTTCTCTTGTTTCACAGTGTGGTGTTCTCATTTTAATTTCACGGTATTGTCCTATGGGACATACTGCGTTTTCACAGTATTGCGATCTTCTACTTATTTCAGATTCACCCTATTGTTTTTTCTAAAGTTCGTCGATCCACAGACTGCTCTTTTTTCTCTCTTTGTTTTGCTAGATTCCCTCGGCTTTGTTCTCTGTTCCTCGAGATTGCCCCGCCGCTGCCCGCTCCGTCATGGTGCCCGGTGATATGACGTGATCGGCCGGGGGTCGGGCTCGGAGTTTGACTTTTTTCCCTCCTTTTCGTCGTCCACTCGCGGCGCGGACCGCGTGGCCCCGGGCATTCACAGGATTCTAAGAACATTCGGCGGGCCGCAGCCTGCACACTGCCCGTATGGGCTTATGGATCAGATTGCCCCGGCGGTCCCTCGCTCCAGGGGCCAGCTATATAAACGCGCCCATTTCTCTCCCTTCCTCTGGCTCCTTTTTTTTCAAATTGACTCACATCAATCAACCCACAAAAACAACACACACAATGGCTATCACTATCGGTATCAACGGTTTCGGCAGAATTGGTCGTCTCGTCTTGAGAGTTGCCCTTTCCAGAAAGGACATCAAGGTCGTCGCCGTCAACGACCCTTTCATTGCCCCTGAGTACGCTGCTTACATGTTCAAGTACGACTCCACCCACGGCAAGTACGAGGGCGAGGTCACCTCCAAGGATGACAAGTTGGTCATTGACGGCCAAGAAATCACCGTTTTCGGCGAGAGAGACCCAGCCCTGATTCCTTGGGGCAAGGCCGGTGTCGACTACGTCATTGAGTCCACTGGTGTCTTCACCACCTTGGAGGGTGCCCAGAAGCACATTGACGGTGGTGCCAAGAAGGTCATCATCACCGCCCCCTCCTCCGACGCCCCAATGTTCGTTGTGGGTGTCAACCACACCAAGTACGCCGGCGAGAACATCGTGTCCAACGCCTCCTGTACCACCAACTGTTTGGCCCCATTGGCCAAGGTTATCGACGACGTCTTCGGCATCGAGGAGGGTTTGATGACCACCGTCCACTCCATCACCGCCACCCAGAAGACCGTTGACGGTCCATCCCACAAGGACTGGAGAGGTGGTAGAACCGCCTCCGGCAACATCATCCCATCCTCCACCGGTGCTGCCAAGGCCGTCGGCAAGGTCATTCCAAAATTGAACGGCAAGTTGACCGGTATGTCCTTGAGAGTCCCAACCGTCGACGTCTCCGTCGTTGACTTGACCGTCAGATTGAAGAAAGCCACCTCTTACGAGGAGATCTCCCAGGCCATCAAGAAGGCTTCTGAGGGTGAGTTGAAGGGTGTCTTGGGCTACACCGAGGACGCTGTTGTCTCCACCGACTTCTTGGGCTCTTCTTACTCCTCCATCTTCGACCAGAAGGCCGGTATCTTGTTGTCTCCAACCTTCGTCAAGTTGATCTCCTGGTACGACAACGAGTTCGGTTACTCCACCAGAGTCGTCGACTTGTTGGAGCACGTTGCCAAGAGCTCTTGAATTTCGGGGAAGTTATAGACTCCGGACTCTATAGCTGACAGTGCGCTCCCTAGAGGAGAACACTTATGTACAAACTCTGATGAATCAATCTGATGACACTGAAAGTTTCAATTGTAGACCGCACCGTGCGCAGACTTGCTCTTTGTATAAAGATGCACTTGCATCTGTGCGCATCGGTAATGGTGTCCAATCGTCGCTCGCTCATTTCACGAAAAACCGTTCAAATATCTGTGGGGTGGGCATGGCTCCTGGCCACAGTGAACACTGGAGCCCTTGACTCACGCCACTGTATGCAGGACACCAACATTGCCAGTATCAACATTGAAGTATGGAACAAGCTCGCCTCTTCTTATAGTTTGTACGCACACTGCTTTATTTACCCAGTAAATCATGGATCTTGCCTTCCTACGAGACCGTGGCTTTCGCGTGTATAAAGCGAACCAATTGCCCACACTCTCGGTGGCCCATCAAGATTTCATCACATCCCTCGTGGCGAAGTACTTTTATACTAAGTACACCAAATCCACTAATGATTTGATCCCACGATATAAAAGCGCCGAGGATGTGAAGGTGGCGGTCCGTTCTGAGAAATCAGTACTCGGAGAACTCAGCTTACTTCACCTCTCTATCGAGCACGGCCTGTCAATGCAAACAGTAGTGTTTATTCAGAACGCGCAGAAAACAGTCTCTTTAATCAGACTGCCCATCCCTCTATTTTTGGTAGAAGTCTTGGAAAGCTTGGATCTCGACTTGGCTTTCGCACTTCAGCCGGTTGCCCTCACCCATGATTTTGTTCATAAATATGTGAACGGACTAAAGATTCTAATTTCTGAAGACCCATCAGTCATGGGCCAGATCGATTTGGTCTTTTCACCACGACAGGCTCTCACAGGCAACTCCTTACGAAACATCTTGGTTACCTTCCCAAAGGAGGATTCCAGTTCCATTCTACAGAAAGAGAGCCCGCCTTTGGATTGCTTATACGACTGGCTAGCCAAAACCACCACTTTGAAGTTCAAGAACTTAGATGTCAGCAGCTTTTCAAGCAGACTAGTGGCAATCAAAACAAACACACTCACATTGGCAAACCCGCTGTCCCTGGAGGACCTGTGGGAATTGCTACTTAAGACTGTGCTCGAAAGTGTGTACATATAATATTACGAAATAATACATATTAACGACCAGGTTGTCGTGAGTACCACAAGTATGAAGCCCGTCCATATGATACCAGAATGTGAAGATGGCGAATGCTTAAATCTTTGGAAGTTCAAGTTGATGCTCATCATCGTGAAAGCCAAGGAAAAGAGGAATCCGAAAGTAAGCAAGATGAACACCATAAAGTTGTCAGAAACACTGAACTTTGCTCCCTTGCTCATTATGTTAAACAATGAGTATAGGATTCCAATGTTGATACCAGATATGAAAATGGAACTGAAGCAAAGTGAGAAGTAAAAAAGTGAAAGAACGTAGTCGTAGTCGTGCACGAGCCTGTCTTGGTAGTCGTTTGACTTGTCGAGGAATGTTGTGTCCTCGTTGATGGAGTCGTAGTTGTACTTCTGTGTCTCCCAGTGGTCAGTCGCCCGGGGACGAAACACAAGGGCTGCAGTGATATCGGAAGGGCGGCTGCCAAGTAGCTTTCTCATCCGATACTTGAAGCGAATGAAAGAAAGCACGGCATTGTTCAAGAAGTTGTCTTCGAGGTCATTGCTCAAGTTGAGATAGGCAATGTAGCTGTCTTCGTTCCCCTCGTCATTGTACTGCTCCAAGTCGGACAATCTAGAAAGATGGTACTCACTGAAGCTCCCTTTATGATGAGTGGTGGATGCGCAGCACGGGTTGGAGGAATGTTCCTCTAGCAAAGGTAGACCCTCGCTCTGCTGCACAGGCTCGCGGCAGGTTTCCCCCACTTCACGGAGTGATTTGTACGACTTCTGTCTATTGAGAATGATGCGGCTCTTGTCCTGGATGATGGAGCCGTCGACGTTGTGCTGATCATTGAGGGCCTCCATGTTCTCGTAGCACTTGAACAAATTCACACAGAGAAGGCGGGAGTAGTGGTTGTTGGGCTTTGGCGGGATCACGTTGCAGTAGCACGAGCGCATGTAGTCGAACATGTTGAGGTCCTTGAAAAGCTGCACAGAGGGCGTCTTGAGAAGATTCTGGATTTTGAGCGGGAGCCTTTTGAGCGTGATTGCCCGGTACTTGTTCTGGAGCACGTTGCCCTGAATCTCGGTGGAGAGCGACGCCTCGAAATTGTGCAAGTTGGAGTCGTTGGAGTGGACGCTGAGCGTGCTGAACGGGAACGGGTCCTTGCTGGCCACGTCGAACGAGACCTCGGTGGGCACGTGGCACGACGTGTAGATGTGCTCGTCGAGGGTCAAGTAGAAGCTGTCCTCGTACAGCCGGGTCCCCTCCAACGACGGGGAGGCAGGCAGAAGGTCGCCCGAGATCGGAGAAATCGAGAGCTTGTCGCCACAGGCCGAGGAAGGAGCCTGCTGGCGGCCGCCTCTGTGCAAGAAATAACGGGTTCTGGCCATGACCAAACAGAGGCACGGCGACACGCCGCTCTCGAGCAAGCACGTGACAGCCACCTTCGTCATGTGCGATAGGCTGTCGTCCAGCAAGTACGAGGCTATGCGCGCGGCCTCGTGCTGTTTCTGGGGGCCGCCGGTTTGCGGGCTTGTGTACGCGAGGACGCTGTTGACCACCGTGTTGGGGAGGCAGCAGTACGAGTACTTGCGTAGGCCGCCCGTGCAGGCAATGACGGTGGAGACCGGCGAGTCCTCGTAGGAGATGATGCACGAAGGGCTGTCGTCCTCGGGGCCGGCACTCAAGTACACCACCGAGAGCCGGAAGGTGTCGGAAACCTTGGGGATGTTCAAGTACACGTCCATGCTGAGGCAGATGTCGTTGCGCGACGCCACGTCGCGCGGAACGAGGCCGTGCAACGCGAAGTTCTTTTTCAACGCGGTGATGAGATCGAACCGCGCCGGGAGCGAGATGTCGAGGTCAAAGTCCACGTCCAAGGCCACGTCCTCGGGCAGCGCCGCGCCGGAAAACACCGATGTGCGGAGCGTGCCGATGGAGGACGACGAGTGGACCTTGGATGTCCTGGCCGGGCGGCGCTGGAGCGACTCGTGCAAAAGCCGCGACTCGTGCTCCACGTCCAGGAGGAGGTACACGAGAGTGGCGGTGGTTTCCAGTGCGTCGTAGTGGGTGAACGACGCGCGGCGGGTGTGGAGCAGCTTGTTCAACGAGGCCACAAACTGCTTGCCGGCGGCGTGGTCCGGGTAGTGCTTGGCGAACTTCTTGAGGATTTTCTTGACCGCGAGCTTCTGCACCAAAACGAACTTGTTGAGCTTGCGGAGCTCGCTGGACACCTCGTTGATGCAGCGGTAGTGGAGCATGTCCAAGGCCTGGAGCCTGGAGACCACGGGCTCGGTGCTGGCCTTGAGCCGGGCATATTCTGCAGCGTCGCTGGCGACTTTGCGCGCCAACTCGCCCAGCTTGGTCATGACGAAAAGATCCACGTGGCCGAGCTTCTCGAGAAATAGCCGCCGGAGGTCCCTGAGGTCCGGGCAGGGCGTTTGCGTGGCGTCCCGGATGTGCTTCTTGAGGTCATTGTAGTCGAGATTGTAGTCCTTCCACTCGGGAATAGAGAGATGCGCCAAGTTCTTGCCGAACTTCATGGGGCGGCACGGGCGGGGCGGGAAGGCGAAAAGAGGGGCCCTCAAAAAAAGCCAAGCTGGTGCGGATGAGAGGGGAGAAGTAGTAGTGGATGGCTTGTGGAGATCTTTGTACTGGGGCCCGGGTAGATTACGTACGGCGGTCACGTGCGCAGGCGCGGCAGACGTCTCTTCCTCTGCGTATAGATGCGCCCGGGCGGCGTGTATGTCAGACCGCAGGCTGGGGAGTGCAGGGGCCTCGCCGCGGGGCGCACCCGTATGACGCCTGCACCTGGGCCGGACTTTATGGGCGCTGCTGCAGAGCGTGGTATTCCGGGAAAGCATTCTGGAGGAGGCAGGGAAAGCATTCTGGAGGAGACAGGGAAAGCATGTTGGGGGCAGGGAAAGCATGTCTTTGGGCGGTATTTGCAGCAGCCCTATTGATTACTGACAGGCCCCCTTTTTCTTTTGCGTGCCGTGGCTATCGGTGGCGTGATGAATTTTCTGACGGGGTGTTCCTTGTTGATAGGTGTCTGACAGAAAGCAGACCCATGCGCTTTGTCACAACAATCCAAATGCGCCAAGCTGCCTGCGGCGCCCCCAACCAATGACAACTTTTCCCGAGCTTATGGCGACAGCCTAGCCACCAGCAAACATCACTGAATCCTCGTATACTGCCCTGATTTATTTGGGAATCCACGCATGCGATTGACTGCAATCTCGCTATTTGTTCTCTCCTCACCTTTATGAAGCAGTATGCCTTGCTTTTTGTAAACTCTAAACCTAAACACGCCTGCGCTTGGTTTCTATTGAAGTCCGTCGAGTTTAGTCGTGCGGCACAGCAATACCCTTTCTGAACATTACCGATGTAGTCGGGCACCGTATTACGCCAATCCTTCGAATAATTTTCATATGCATCGCACACACTCCAGTTTGCGGCTCGCCTCGAAGCACGAAGAGTCTTGATTCCTACTCTGGCCAAGAGATGGATACAAAAGTCATTGCGGGCTTTAAAGGGCACCCAGCAATCTACGCCTCTGACATTGCGCTACACAACATGACATTTTATATCTAATGTTTTGACCACCTCTCCATAGGACGTACACCCGGGTTCTGAGCTCCCATCTATCGTGTTCTTTCTCGCTGTGAGGATCAGCCGAAATTATACGTCAGGCAGAGAGCTAGCCTATCGCCCATATACAAGACGCATGCGCCAATGCGAAGGAGGATTCTAGATGCACGTTCATGTCCTGAATAGGTTAAATACGTTTCAGAGCTCTGTAGGCTTTACTTGGCACATTTGCCCGGCGGTTCCGAGGATTATAAGCTTTTCAAGCTAGGAAAAAAGTTGACAAAAGCCAGGGCCGGTTGTCTTGAAGAAAAAGCGTGTGATGCAACCTGGAAGTTTCTGGAGAAATTTATCCGAACTTTGCGTCTGCAACTGCGTCAATCATCGTGTGACCTCAGCCTCTGAATTTAATTTTCCGAGAGCCCACGTGTTGGGCTATAGACCAATACTCGTAAAAGGTCTGCGAGCTTAGCCGAAGTGCGGCGAGAATGGACATCAAGACTAAAGCGCAACATCAACATTTGAATTTTGCCACATACGAAAGAACTAGTAAAGCCTCATGAATTTCATCATGAGCTTGCAGATCAAACTTCACCCTCCTTGGGTATAAACAGGCAAAACATGTCTTTTTAAACATCAGTTCACGTGCAAATAAGCAACAAAGAAAGGGTTCTGTATGTACCCTTAAGTCTCGATGAAGAAGTCGATCGCAAGACTTTCCTTTGGTCCGATGGCCTGCATCGGCTTGATCAAAAAAATTTGTTGAGATTAAGATGCAGTTCCGCCATCTTATCAAGAAAAGCCACTCAATTGATCTATAAAATTGATCGCAAGATCTCGTATGCATCTAAATTTGGTAAGCCTTGAGGTTCCTGGAATGTTTTTAGTGAACACTTTTTAAGGAATTATGAAAGTGCTTACTGGGTCATTTGCTCGGTCAAAAAGACGCAATGTCAAGGGTGTCGAGCCAGGACCAGTAGTATATCTGAGTCCTGCGAACAATCATGTTTGATGTACCTTTGATCTGCAATTTTGCAGATAATGTTTCAAGACAATTATGTTTCAAGACAATTTTGCAGATAATGTTTCAGGACAATTTTCCAGATACTGTTTCTGGAAGCATTACGTAAATTGAAAAGCTCTGAATGTATAGGTAGCGTGTGGCTGTACTAGGCATAGCACATGTATCATAGTCCAAAACTTGACAAGCCTGGACTTTTGTACTGATTCTTGGCAAGGGTTCAGTCTATTCTTTTATCAAGTGGGCTAGTTGTTAAGTATTGCTATGATTTTTTTATAACGACTATTTATTGAGTTTCACGTTTTAATATCCTTGGTGTAAGCTAGAAACGATAATTTCTCCTTTGATTGTACAAATCCTAGTGTCGGCATGTTGCAGCCAAAATTTGTTTTTTTCTTCCTTAATCGACCTGCTGTCGATGAGGTTTCGAGGTTCGAAATCTGTACACTTTATTTTGGCGAGTTCTGAGATCAAAGTAGGACACAATGCGCTGGTAAAGTGGTTGAAATACATGAATATGGACCGGCTATAGTGTTGTGCAAGACCACGACAAATGAGATCAAATCAATGTGCAAGAAATATTAGAGGTTTGGTATGTAAATCTTTGGACCCTCTTTTAAGGTCACTTTGACGATTTCACCAAGGAACTGACTGCAATTGAGCACTTTCGCAGGCGAATACAATAACGTTTCACGGCAACTTTTCGAGACGGATTTTGACAGGCACAGTAACTCACAAACAAATGAATTAATTTTACGTCTTTTCAGGAGATAAAGCCTCGTCCGTCTACTTGACTATTCTTGTTCTTTGGCTGCAATTATTCACGGAAATCAATCTCCCATGATTGAAAAGAATGTTTTGTAATAGAACAGATTTGGAACAATGGAACTTTGTGTGGAACAGGTTTGCAACCGAAAACAATCAGGGGGTTTCAAAAGAGAAAAAGGGAAAAAGAGAAAAAGAAAATAAGAGAAAAATATAATAAGAGAATAAAAGAACAAGAGAACAAGAGAAAAAAGGAAACAAAGACGAGGAAACAGAGGCATCAGTGAAAGACAAACCAGTATCCAGTGAAAGACGTACCAGTTTTCCTTGAGAAGTGTTATATCGGCCGAAGTGAAAGTTTCTTTCAAAGATTCCCGGGCCGGTCGACATTTTGTCATATTCAAAACTTGGATATGAGATTCGAACGCCCCCACAGGGCAGGGCAACGAGACGACAGTTTGTAGCAGGACATTTAAAACAGAACAGAATAGGTGAAGGAAATAATGCCAGCTTTTTCCTGAAGTGACGTGAACAAATAGGCTATCCTCGCCAGCATTGGCCCAAATACATCTTAAACGAACGACACCTTTGGCACCAACAGGCTTTCGCAGCCGCGCGAGAGGCAGCAGGCCATATCACGTGAGATGAGACACCTGGGCCCTGTTCCGAATTACTCATCCACGTCGATAGACCAGAGTCAAGCAAGAAAAGCTGGGTAGCATTTCGAACCTTTTCTGCAAAGCAAAAAAAAGCAAAAACATGTGACAAAATATTAAAATCAAAGAGCAAAAACAAAGAAAGAAAATTAAAAAAATCAAAGAACAAAAACAAAGAAAAAAGAAAAAAGAACAAAGAAATTAAAGTAAAAAAACTAGCATCTGCTAGCTCAGAATGTACCGACTTGATATGGGCCTCCCGTCTGGCCCCGTGCGCAGGGCCCATTTTCAGAACATCAGCCCCTAACCAAATTAAGTGGCGACAAGACATGCAAAGACATATTCGCCTTCCCACGTCCATCGCACCCTTTTTCAAACCAAAGCCGCAGAAATCCATCAAGCGGCCGTGCTTCTTCAGATTTCTGCCGATTCCCATGAGGCCCGCTATTTGAGTGCCTCGGGCCATCTGTTCAAGTCTGATGTATGGGTCCATTTTCCTCACCCGGCGCGCAGCCAATGGTAGCCCGGTGCTATGGCATTATCCGCGCGCACGTGAGATCACTCAATGTCCAAAAATTTTGCAGCTGGGGTGTCTGCAGGTCTATCAATGCAAGTCTGGGGTCGCCTCTGAAGCAACAAAAACGGACAAGGATCTCGTTCTTTTCTTCTACCCAGCGTTTTCCTGACACCTACTTTCTGCAGACCCACCAAGTCCGCCGGTTCGTTGAACAGTTCTTTTTTTTATATTTGCGCCGCTCGCCGACTCTGCGCTTTTGCTAAGAAGCTTGCCTAGCCCCATCTGGCTATCGCATCGCTCACCGATAAACGTCCAGTTTTTGCCAGCGCAAACAAAAACACAAACAAAAACACAAACACAGGCAAATTTGCAGCATGGTGTCGCAGACCGAGGCCATTGCCGCCGTGGTGGCCGGCACAAAAAGCCAGCTTTTCGCCACCCAGCCCTCCAAGGCCGTGGCGTCGCTGTATGCGCCATACGTGCCTGGGTACGTTCCGCTCATTGACGCCAACGAGCCGTTTTCTTTGGTCGCCAGCTACATCGACGAGCAGCCCAAAGAGGAAACCGCCGCTGTGCCGGTGTCCGTGGCCACGGACTCCGTCACGCTTTTCAGAAACTTGCCTTTCTTGTCCTTGGCCGCGTACAGGACGCACCCTGTGGTGGTCCACGTGGAAATAGTCAACTTCGACTACGACATTGTCACCGCGTTGACGGACTCGCAGTACACCGTGTTTGTGTCCCAAAGCGCCCGCGACGCGTTTGCCGTGACCCAGGCCGCGGCCGCCGCGGCACTCTTGGAACAGAAAGCCGTGTTCCACTTTTACGCCCCTTCGGCCCGTGCCGACGACGTGGACGTGGCTAAAGTTGCCGCCGCCGCCGACATTGCCTCTGTCTCCGACGCGCTTCGCCACTACCGCATCCAGCCGTTCGCGGCGCTAAATTCCGTGGCGACACCCAAGGATGCCGTGGTGTTTTTGGGCCAGGTCTCCGCGGACCTCACCGCTGCCTTCTCGGCCGAGCACGCGTTGCTTTTTGCCGTCAACGTGCTCCACCCGCTAGATTTGGCCAGCTTGCTTGCGCAGATCCCGGCGTCCGTGGATACTTTGACGTTTGTCGAGCAGTCGTTCCGCGTGTCGTCGTTCTCGCCGTTGCTCTTGGAATTCTTCAAGAGCTACTCGGCTCACCAGCACTTGAAGAACTTCCGCAAGGTGGTGGGCGCCAAGTTGGGCCACGTGACCGCGGAGAAAACCCAGCAAACCGTGGCCAACTTGTTGGCCAACACCCGGGCAGACACGCCTGCGCAGAACGTGCTTTTCGGCAAGGTCTCCGAGTTGTCCACCAAATCGCACCAGCTGAAGTTGGGCGAGAAGGCCGCGGGCCAGAAGCGCGTCTACGAGTTGGAGCAGGCCTACACCAAGGTGTTGGCCCAGGTCAACGCGAACTCGGCCATTTTGAACGACTTCTCGGCCGAGACCGTCGGCGGCGCCTCGAACCCGGAGTACGGCTTCGGCTCGTTTTTGTACTCGCAGACCAAGGCGAAGGACTTGGCCAGCTTGGTGGCGGACGCCGTCCAAAAGAAAGCCTTCAGCTCGTTGAACAACGACAAGTTGATTGAGCTCTTGTCCCAGTGGTTGGTCAGCTTCCAGGAGGGCAAGGCCTTCGCCAAGGTGGCGAAGCTTGTCGACATCTTGAACACCGACAACTCGGCCTCGGCACAGGCCATCCTTGGCTCCCTGCAGTACTTGGACATCAAGTCCAACTGGTTGGTCGGCTCGGACGCGTGGTCCTACGACTTGGGCCTGTCCGGTGTGCACAGCGTGATTTCCTCGGGCCAGAACATCAACATGTTGATCATCGACTCCGAGCCCTACTCGGCCAAGAAGCTCAATGCGCTCAGAAAGAAGGACGTGGGCTTGTACGCCATGAACTACGGCAACTGCTACGTGGCCTCCATTGCCATCTACTCCTCGTACACGCAGGTCTTGCAGGCGTTCATCGAGGCCGAGAAGTTCAACGGCCCCTCGATCGTGTTGGCCTACTTGCCTTACGAGACAGAGAACTCCGATGTCTTAAGCATCTTGAAGGAGACCAAGTCGGCCGTCGACACCGGATACTGGCCTTTGTACAGGTACGACCCCACCATTGAGGACGACAGCCTCAGGTTCAAGCTTGACTCCTCGTCCTTGAGAACCCAGTTGAAGAACTTCTTGGACCGTGAGAACAAGTTGACGCTCTTGGCGCAGAAGAACCCGCAGCTCCTGAGAAACTTGACTGCCAGTGCCAACAGCGAGATCAAGAAGCAGCAGAAGCAGGTGGAAGACGAGTCGTTCAAGCAGTTGTTACAGGGCTTGTCTGGCCCTCCTTTGACCATCGGATTTGCATCTGATGGCGGAAACGCTGAGGCCGTGGCCAAGAAAATCAACAGACAGGCCTTGGGCCGTGGCTTGAAGTCTGTCGTGCTTTCTATGGACGAAATGTCCGTGGAGGACTTGCCCATGGAGACCAACGTCATCTTGGTGACAGCCACTGCCGGCCAGGGTGAAATCCCCAACAACGGTAAGGCCTTCTGGGATGAGTTGAAACAGTCGCAAGACTTGGACCTCTCGTCCGTCAAGTTCTCCGTGTTTGGTTTGGGTGACTCCAAGTACTGGCCAAGAAAGGAGGACAAGCACTACTACAACAAGCCAGCTCAGGACTTGTACGGCAAGTTCAAGTTGTACGGTGGTGTGGAATTAGCCGACTTGGGTTTGGGTGATGACCAGGACCCTGATGGATTCAACACTGGATACGAGGAGTGGCTCCCTAAGATCTGGAAAGCCTTGGGTGTGGACAACGTCGAGGGGGTTGAGGAGCCAAAGCCCTTGACCAACGAAGACATGAAAATTCAATCTGACTTCTTGAGAGGTACCATCGCCGAGGGCTTGAGAGACGAGTCCACTGGTGCTATCTGTGCTGTCGACCAGCAAATGACCAAGTTCCATGGAATTTACATGCAAGACGACCGTGACATCAGAGACGAGAGAAAGCTGCAGGGCTTGGAGCCCGCATACTCCTTTATGGTGCGTTTGAGATTGCCTGGTGGTTTTGCCACTCCCCAGCAATACCTCAAGTTGGATGAGCTTGCTGACGTCAGAGGTAACGAGACGCTTAAGATCACCACCAGAGCCACGTTTCAGTTGCATGGTATTGTCAAGCACAACATGAAGCCAGCTATCAGAGGCATGAACTCTGTTTTGTTGGACACCCTTGCTGCCTGCGGTGACGTCAACAGAAATGTCATGGTTTCTGCGCTCCCAGAGAACGCCAAGGTACATAGCCAGATTGCCGAGACTGGAACCTTGATTTCGGAACACTTGTTGCCCCAAACAACTGCTTATCACGAGATTTGGTTGGAAGGCGCGGACGAGTCTGACAAGCCTGGAGACAGAGACGTGTGGGAAAACAGAAAAGACGGGCCCAAGAAAAAGAAGACTATGGTCGCTGGTAACGCCTTGGTTGATTACGAGCCTCAGTATGGCCCAACGTATTTGCCCAGAAAGTTCAAGATTGTCATCACTGTGCCTCCATACAACGATGTGGACGTATATGCACACGATGTCGGGTTGATCGCCATTGTGGAAGACAACGAGGTGATTGGCTACAATGTCTGTGCCGGTGGTGGTATGGGATCGACTCACAACAACGTCAAGACCTACCCTAGGACTGGTAGCATGATGGGGTACGTGTCCAAGGAGAAGGTTCACATTGCCTGCGAGAATATCATGTTGGTGCAAAGAGACAACGGTGACAGAGGCAACAGAAAGCACGCCAGATTGAAGTACACTATCGACGATATGGGCGTAGACGTGTTCAAGAGAACTGTCGAGGAATACTGGGGTGAGAAGTTCGAGGAGCCCAAGCCTTTCGAAATCAAGAGTAACATTGACTACTTTGGCTGGGTCAAGGACGAGTTAAACTACAACCACTTTACTGCGTTTATCGAAAACGGCCGTATTGAGGATACCCCCGAGTTGCCACAGAAGACCGGTTTGAAGGTGATTGCACAGTACTTACTCGACAACAACTTGTCGGGAGAGTACAGACTCACTGGTAACCAGCACTTGGTTATCTCCAACATTGAAGATAAGGATTTGCCTGCCATCAAGGACTTGCTTGCCAAGTACAAGTTGGACAACACCAACTTCAGTGCATTGAGATTGTCGTCTTCTTCGTGTGTGGCCCTCCCTACCTGTGGATTGGCCATGGCTGAATCCGAGCGTTACATGCCCGAGTTGATCACCAAGTTGGAGCAAGCTTTGGAAGAATACGGTTTGAGACACGACTCAGTGGTGATGAGAATGACTGGCTGTCCTAACGGATGTGCAAGGCCATGGGTCGCCGAGGTGGCCTTAGTTGGTAAGGCCTTGGGTGCTTACAACTTGATGTTGGGAGGTGGTCATCATGGACAAAGATTGAACAAGATCTACAGATACTCCATCAAGGAGGACGAGATTCTCAGCATTCTTAAGCCCTTGTTCAAGAGATGGAGTTTGGAGAGAAACGAGGGTGAGCCTTTCGGTGACTTCTGTATCAGAATCGGTGTGATCCAGGAGACCACGGAGGGTAAGTACTTCCACGAGGGCATCCCAGAGGAGGCTTAATTCGGGGAGCACAACCACTCACAAATTGCTAACATTTTATATTTTATAGCTCGGATGAGTTATAGCGATCAATAGATATACATTAGAGACTTCATTTTGCACTCAACCAGAACACTGTGCGTTTCTTAATAGATTGGCCCAGAGATGGGACTCAAGTCTGATATGAAAGTTGTGACGAATGGGATGAATTTGTAAGTTTTGCTAGGATGTGAACCTAGTCACAAGATGGGCCTACCCGATCTAGATATTTCGAAGAGGTAGAACGGACGGGATTGGAGATGAACTTGAGAGACTGAGAAGGCTCAGATCAAAAAAAGTGGGATTTATTCTGGCAGTATCCAGGGAATGAGCAAAATTGGTATTCATCACGCTTATATTTTTCAGCTACTTACGGGATACACAAACAATCTAAAGTTTTGTACTGGGACCGGAGGGACGTGGTTTTGCTACGGTAGTCAAGTCTCTCGGCGTGAGTTGGATGGACAGCATTTGACAATTGCTCCAATATTGACACTTAGCACTTAAGCTCTACATTAGCAGGTAGCAGTCATATGACTCCAGCTCTAAATCGGACAGCAGAGTAGAGTTTGCAACACGTTGCGTATGGATACTTCCCGAAGCGGAAATGACTTAGGTAAGCACATCAGTAAGAATCATTGTTCACTACTCTGCATTTAACGCCACAAGAGGGGTGTGAATACTCGTATAACTTGATCTGGAAAATCGTCGAAGTCATAAGTCAAATTGAAGGCCGTCTGAAGTGTAATCAGAGCAGACAGAAGTATTGTCATTACGCAGTTGACCGAAGATCAAAGAGATATGATCATATCCTTTAAGCAGCAGCCAGGGATGAACCATACAGATCATACACTCGCGGCCACCTAGACATTTTTAATGAAGTCAATAAAAGACGAGTCAAAGTCGAGAGTGAGTCAGAACCCTATTCCATGTCACATGGTGGTGAGGCAATGTTAAAGTGAGTGCGCCCGAGTCAAATCAGGGTTTTAGTGCAGCTGGCCTCCTAGGCAAGTGAATGTCGCAGGGAAGGTAACGCCAGTGTTCTAGGGTGGTAGACGAAGACGTTTCAAGTTGAACTGAAGTCATGATGGAGCTGAGGCCATCACCAAGTTGGAATCACAGCCGAGGTAAAGTCATAATAGAGTTAAACTACTTTAAGTTAGAGTCATCAAGTTAGACACCAAGTTGATAGTAACACCAAGTTTAGAGTATCACCAAGTTGAAATCATCAAGTTGAAATCACCAAGTTGAAATCACCAAGTTGAGAGTATCACCAAGTTGAAAGGAACACCGAGTTGAGAGTATCCCCAAGTCAGAAGTATCACCAAGTCAGAAATATTACCAAGTCAGAAATATTACCAAGTCAGAAATATTACCAAGTCAGAAATGTCACCAAGTCAGAAATGTCACCAAGTCAGAAATGTCATCAAGTCAAAAGCACCACCAAGAAGTAACACCAATCTGAAAGTATCACCATGTTGAGAGTATCACCATGTTGAGAGTATCACCAAGTTGAAATCACCAAGTCAGAAATATCACCAAGTCAGAAATATCACCAAGTCAAAAGCACCACCAAACCAAAAGAACCACCAAACCAAAAGAACCACCAAACCAAAAGCACCAGCAAGCTGAAAATATTAGGTTAGTCACCACCAGGTGGGAGCCGCCACCCAGTTCGTGTCAAACCCGTGGTAAGCTCATCCGCAGCCAAAGCCATATCCAAACAGATGAAAAAGCGGCCAGGACCCAGAGCCAGGCCAGAGCACCGCGGTCAGGGCCGCCGGGCCAACTTGCCGATTTCGGCTATCGTGGGCGACGCCCGTCTCTCGTAGTTCAACACCTCGAGAATCGGCACCGATCGCACGGTCATACTCACCTTCTTCACCCGTCTATGCACTTTCCGCTCGGCTCCGACGGCCGCCTTGTGGACCGCAGTGCGGAGATGCCGGGCCTGGGCCTCCTTGAGGGCGCAGAGCCGCAGGACAAGGTCTGCTTTTTGCTGCTTGGTGAGTTTCGGAGCCATGGCCTGAGACAGAAAGGGCCGGGCAGTCGTGCAGTGAGGCACCAGGCCAGATGGGGCCGAGCGCCCCGGGCCGCGGCCCTAGAAAACTGGGCGAGCGGCGCGCCAGCTCTTGGCCCTGGGCAGAGGGCGAATAGGGCACGCTAGAGGGGACCGTGATCTCCACCCACACGCGGAAATAAACAATTTGTTTTATATGGCCAGGCAGCCCGCGACCGCAAGAATTAGAATAAAAAGCCCCGGAGAACCGCCGGCACGAGAACGCCGCTTAGACCGCTCCCGGCGTAGATTGGGCGGCGCACGACCGGCCCTCAGGCGGCGGCGCCGCTCCGCAATCCAGGGCCACGCGCACCACGCAACGCACTCAACTCAACTCAACTAACTCGACTTAACTCAACTACAAGCGCCCACCGGACCCCCCCTGGAAACGCGACCACATCCGAACAAAAGCGCCAGGAACTCCGCCCCCAAGCGCGTCGATCGTCACATTCCCCCACTCGCCACCCCGCACCACGCAGCAGCAACCATGGTGCTCGAGGCCACGATGATCGCCATCGACAGCTCCGAATTCATGCGCAACGGCGACTTCCTAGCGACCCGCTACGACGCGCAGATCACGGCCATGGAGTTTGTGTTCCAGAACAAGCTCAACGCCAACCCCGAAAACACCGTGGGCTTGTTGTCGTACGGCGGCAACGGCCCGCAGGTGTTGTCCACATTGACGACCGATTTCGGCAAGATCTTGTCCGGCGCCCACGGCACCCGCATCAGCGGCGACAGCCACTTTGCCAGCGGCATCCAGGTGGCCGCGTTGGCGTTGAAGCACCGCCAGAACAAGGTGCAGAGCCAGCGCATCATTGCGTTTGTGGGCAGCCCGCTCCGCGAGTCCGACAAGGACTTGGACAGGTTGGCCAAGAAAATGAAGAAGAACAACGTGGCCGTGGACATCGTCAACTTCGGCGAGGAGAGCGCCAACACGGCCAAGTTGGAGCGGTTCCACGCGGCCGTCAACAACCACGACAACTCGCACTTGGTCACGGTGCCGCCGGGCCCCCGCTTGTTGTACGAGGTGATTGCTAGCTCGCCGATCTTGGTGGAAGACGGCTTTGACGTGGGCGACACGGGCGACTTCTTGGGCATGGGCGCCGTGGACGCCAACATGGACCCGGACTTGGCCTTGGCCTTGCGCTTGTCGTTGGAGGAGGAGAAACAGAGGCAGGAGCGCGAGGCCGCGGACGGTGCTTCGCCGCCCGCCGACTTGGGCCGGATTGCCGAGGAGGCTGCGGGCCCGGACGACGCCAAGCACGACGACGCCAAGCCGAGCGGCGCCAGCTGAGCCGTGGGGCCGGCGTGCCGCCCGCCTGCAGGGACGTGTGGAGGCGTGGGCCTAGGCCAGCTTGCCGGAGAGGGCCCCCGAGTTGCATGGGCCCACCGGGGCGTCCCAGGAAGGGCCGGCCGCGGGCCGGGTGTATAGGGTGACTGCAAATAGCCAACCACGCCCAGCCGGGGCCGAGCCTTTGGAACCGTGTCGTGCCCATCCAGCTTGCAGAACACTGCTCATGAGCTGAGCCCGTCAGAGTAGATTTCGGTGGCGCATAATATACCTCCCGGTAGGGGGTATATCCCGGCGTAGCCGGTAATATTTAATCAACTCCTAATATATAACAAAGTTTATTTATATACCTTTTCAAACAATATAAGTAAATACTTTTGTATTGTATTAATATACATTTAGATGGTTGGTTATCATGCATAGCAAGCATATAAATTGCATGGTAATAATCGTAAGTCATATAGGAATATAACTAAGTCATATATATTATGAAGTCATATATATCACTAAGTCATAATAATGTATATCTAAGATATATAAGTTATATATGAAATATCTTATTTAATAATTTTTCTTATGTAAGTTACAATTATAAAGTATAAAAATATCCTAATAAATAGGATAGGTAAAAAAGTGAATTTATACAAGATAGACTATTTAATTATTTATATAAAATAATTATAATTAACCCATAAAAGCAGTGGCAATAGTCAAAATAAAAATATTAACACCAATAGTTCGAACAAGTGTACGAGGTTTTTAAGATTTATAGAATACTTACTATATATTTCGTATGTATATTATATCATATAACATAATGTTTTTATTTATATAATTAACGCATGAAAGGTATAACATTTTATTTATAACTATATACCTAATAACTTTACGGTCATTATATTATGACCTTTTACGGGTGTCTAAATGCTAAAAAATCTTCGAAATATTTAAAATCTCTTTACTTTAAACTAACAATTGAAATAAGAATATTTGAATAAAAAGTTAGAAGTAAAAATAAGAGATTTGAGAAAACAATTGGCAGTAATTAATATACATAACAAATTTAAATGATGCAAAATTAATAAAACATTACATAAAAGAATCTTTAATCCAAAATTGTGCTGCTATGCTCAATGACTCAAAAACTGAAATAACATATATAAAAGATAAGAAATGACATTTCTTAGGTGCTGAAATTGTTATATACCACAATATCCAGATGCATTTGTAGGTTGAAATTATATAAGTAGTATAGGTTCAGCGATATCAATAATATCAGTAATAGACATAGTCCGAACAATATAGTAATATATTGAAATAAAATCATCATAAAAGTTTATGAAAGTTTCATTATAAACAAATTGTTATCCACCATTATCATCAATAAATGCACATTCCGGTCCATCAGTCGATCTTGCGTACGGCTTACCGCATATTAACTGACCTTTATTAAATACAAATGAATAATAATTAAGCAACCCTCTAATAATACTATTAGCTAAATGTGTTATTTGTTGGGGTTTTAAATTCAATCAAATATAGTTAGACATTCCTATATCTTTATTAGCGTTTCTAGATATAAACCCAGCTTTAGCTAATTTAGATTTTATTATATCCATAGGAGCATTAAAAACTATTATAGGATTATTAATTTTCCTATTATTAATTACCCCCTGTAGAGGAGGGATCACCGGACTACTCCCGGTCATTGTTTCATTACTCTTTCTTTCTCAATTAGTTGTACTTAATATATTATATGCTGGGCCCCGGCAGCGAAGCTGCCGGGTATATTAACATTTCTCTTTACATCTTATACTTTTTTTTATATGTATAAGTATATGTATAATTATAAGTATAACTATTAATGGAGATTTCAGTAAATGCTTTGATTCAATACCTCATAATATAATTATGAATATATTGGAGGAATCCATTAAGTGTCTAAGGACACTTGAATTAATACGTAAATCACTTAAAGTTGATACGGCCTTTAATGGTCGTATTATGATCCTTCTTGTCTGACTTATCAGCATTTAAGTCATAATCAATACTAAGATCATTCCGAGCCCGCGGATCTTTATTATATTGATGTTCAGCGGTTACTTCCCCAAGTTTCGACGTGCGGGACATCTTGTTGGTACCGAGACGGGCTGCAAGGACAATCGTAGACGGGACGGCAAGCCTGATCTATGCGGAGGTGGCCATCCAGCGTAGGGCCCGGGCTTGCACCCATGGCCAGATGCACATACTGAAGCTAGGTCCCCCAGTGTCAGACGAGAATATCCCAGGGCCTAAAACGGGATTTGTTGGTGCAATTGGCGAAAGAATAGAATAATGATACTATGCAAGGTGTGTTAATTATAAGGATACCACCAGTTGTCCCAAAAGGTCTTTATATAATCTATACAGCTCTTATATAGCATGGAATATACATTGTATGACCAGAGTATATCTATTAAAAGATTTAGAAAAGCCAATACTTCTTTTTCTAGAGAAATACCAACTGGATTATTAATAAACGATCCTATGTTTAGTGTAACTAAATATGTATTAGATGCTCATATTAAAGGATGTTTTGATAATATGTCACTATCATATTACCCCCTCCGGGGTGATTAAAAAAATTGTAACTTATTCTTCTCATCTTATTGATTGTATTGTATGAACGTTACTGACGTTGGGCGCTCGTGGTAGAATCATTGTTGGTTGGCTCATCTACTAGTCCTTGAACTTTTAAAGATCATGGCCTTCTGTCCGAATGCACGAAAACACATCCAGCTGAGACCCGCAGGCTGGCCACTGCGAGGGCCAATTAGTGCGCTGTAGGACTGAGCTATCAATTCCACCAGACAGCCAGACAACCAGACAACCAGACAACCAGAAAACCAGAGCAGCAAAAAACTAAATTATCCAGAACAGCCGAAAATCGGCCAGAACCCCGTGGCCGGACCACCAGAAACAGCAAGCCCAGAACTGGGCCCTCGCGTTCTTTTCCCGGCTCGCCCTGCACCGCGCCAGGCTCTGGGGCCATCGGCAAATGGGTGCGAAATCCCAGGCCTTTGTACTAGCGCAGCACCTCTGCTCTGCGCCAGTCTGTTATAATCCACAGAAAAAAAGAACAACAGAACCTCCCCAAGCCTCCCCACAGCAAACATGGGACACGACAAGCCCGCGGCCAAGTCGCCGCTTTTGCCCGCGTACCTGGATCGGTTCTATGGCGCCGTGCCCACCACCATCGCCCAGTTCCTTGACAACTACTCGAAAGTACGTGCCCACCCCGAAAGAGCCCTTTTCCCGCCGCCGCTTAGTACTAACGCCAGGGCGACAGCTCCCTCCTGGACGCGCCGTGCCCAAAATGCTTGAAGCCGTACGGCTTTTTGGCGCCGCCCGACTGCTACCGCGAGAGACTGCGCAACCCGGCCGTGGAACAGTACTCCCGGCTCGAGCATTGGCAGAACAGGGCCATTTTCCAGCGGGTCACGGCGCAGGTGCGCGAGGCCGTCGGCGCGTTTGGCGTCAGCGTGCTGTTGGTCCACAAAAAGACCGTCTACGTCAAGTACGAGACCAAGTTGGAGTTCAAAGAGCTCCCGCGGGTGGTGCTGCTTGACGCGCACGCCATCCTCTCCAAGGGCGGGATAGTGTTCCGCGACACGGCCAAGGACTGGCGCACGAGCCAGAACCCCCTAGTCACAGGCCCCCCAGGCATCCGCTTCTACGCAGGCGTCAGCTTGGTCACGGGCGCCGGCGTGGCGATCGGCGCCCTTGCCATTTTCGACACGTTGCCCAACGCGGCGTTTTCGTCCGCCAAGCTCAAGCTGCTCGGCAAAGTCGCGGCCCTGTTGATGGCGCTCTTGGACACGCCGCCCGAGAACATCGTGGTGTGCGACGAGAAGTTCTTGTCCGAAAACCCCAACGCCGGCGACCTCGAGTTGGCCGAGTTGTCGTCCAGATTGGGCAGGGCCACGTGCAGCGGCGGCCACATGACCATTTTCGAGCGGGACGGCTCCGGCAGCTGCTACTCGCACAGCCACATCTTCAAGTTGCCCCACTACGAGGAGCACAAGCAGATCAGCGACAGCATGATGCCGGAAGGCCAGAAGCTCGAGATCCGCCAGGCGTTGCGCCGCGTCAAGACGCTCAAAAGCGCGTGCAGGCTCATTGTCAAGTCCATCGCCAGCGTCCACAAGTTCGACTACGTGGTGGTCACGGAGATCCGCTTCATGGAGAAGCACAGGGTGGCCCGCGCGAGCCTCCCCGACAGCACGGCGCCGCTGGGCCCGGCCATTCCGCAGAGATTGCAGAAACAGATGCTTGCCAGCTCCAAGGTCAACGCGGGCAGGTGCAAAGTGCGTGTGTTGGCTTCTACCATCCCGGAGCACGACGCGTCCATGCTGGACCACGCGGTGTGGCTGGAGTCGTTCAGCGGCGAGACCGCGTGCGAAATCATCGGCGCCGACGGCTCGTCCGTGTACCGTTCCGGGTTCGTCATGCCGTTCTACGTGTCCAAGCCCAGCTTCATCAAGAAGGACCGCAGGGCGTCCGGCGACGACCACGTGGATGTGTACTTGCGTCTGGGCGGATACCTGATTGGCGCGTTCAGCAAGTCCAGCAACCGCACGGCCATCACCCCCAGCTTGGTGTCGAAGGTGTACGACCACGTAAAGATCGCACGCGTGTTGTACTTGAATAAATAGGCGTAAATGCACCTACATGCCCATTTCGCGCATGATGGCAAGCTCCTCGTCGTGCTCGTCCGGGACAGCGTCCCCATGTATGTCTGCCTCGTCCGGATATCCCTCGAGCTCTGCCTCGTCCGGAAAGCGTTCGAGACCTGCCTCATCCGGAACGCCCTCTGGGTCTGCCCGATTAGGAACGCCCTGTTCTTGTGGCTTTGGCGGCCTGGCACTTGCTGGCACGTCGTCATCTTCGTCGTCGTCCGCAATGAATAGCGCACTGTTGCGGCTTCGTTTCGCCGACAATATGCCCCAGTCGTCGTCGTCACTTTCGTCCGCATTTTCATGGGTGCTGCCGCCCACATTGTCATGCGTGTGGCTGCTGCTTACTTGGTTGCTGTCTGGATTGGCCCGTTCCTCCAGGGGGGGCTCCACACCGTTGCTGGCTGGGTCGTAGAATTCGTCGTCCGAGTCCCCGGGCTCGTTTTCAGGGTCCTCCACAATGATGCCCTTTTCCACCTTCAAGCGGCGGATCTCGTTGTTGAGCAAGCCTCTCCTGTACTCTCTCATGGCCACCGATTTGTGGCCCCGCAACATTTGGAGACAGTCTTGGAACGTGGCCTTTGGAAAGAGCCCGTGGCACCAGAGCTGATAGAACAGCAAAACCTTCTGGAGATTCTCCACCTCGGAGGACACCTTGAGTTGATGGGCCGCGGATTTGGACACCTGCTTCTTCAGCACTTTGCTGGCATACGCCAGGTCGTTTTTCCGCATGGCACGCACCAATTTCGGGTAGTTGTTTCTCACTTGCGGAAGGCCTCTGTGGGTCTCGAAAAGAAGCTCGTCCGTGAGTTTGGCAATACGCGAGACGCGTCCGAGCTTGAGCGGCTGGTCTAGGCCCAAGTCGTTCTTTTCGCTGTCCATTTCGGGGTTTTGTGTGTGTTTTCCGTGTCGCTTGTATTTAGACTGTCTGGTTCATGGAGGGTCCAGAGACGCGTCGCGACCGGCGACGCAACGCTTGAAAAGTATCACTGGGCGTGTGCTTCCATAGCTGAACAAAACATCACAAACGAAAACACGAAACACAAAATTAAAACGAATACACATAACACAAAAGTAAAACGAAAAATGGAATCGAGGAGGACGTTTTAGACGAAACTCAATTCGGGTAAAACGCAAGCTCCACCTCGTCCACGTGGCCGGGCGTTTCCAGTAGTATGCCAGACGTCTGGGTGGTATTTAAATCACGCTTTCGGTGCAGCTCGAAATGAAGGAGCCAGCATGAACCCACCGGAACTAGACTGCCGTGTGACAGCTCAGCGGCCGGACTCACTAAACTAAGCTCATTTCTCTGATCGCCAAAAGCTTCCGCCTCTTTGGATAGTGAATCGTTGGAGCACTCATTCGATATACGCTTTCACCGGTTGAACTTTGAAAAAACTACGGAAACCACAGTCCAGTTATTGCTCATTCCGGATGCGCCAACACCCGGACTGATCTCCCAACCGGGTCTTTCTTACCAGTCCCCTGCTGCTCGTGCGGAATCTCTATATGGAAGTAGCAAACGCGCAAGCCAGCTGCGCACAATAAAACAGCACCTCGCTGCTCTGGAGAACCCTAGTGCTTCTTGCCCAAAAATACTTCTTCGTTCTCAGGTACGTTGTGGCTCTTTGCGGATTTGCGGTAGTCTCATATAAGTGCATTCCCGACCCACATTTGCCCAGGGTAGCCCGAGTAGATATTCTGTATATTCACGCTAGACCAATGCTTGGTGTCATAAGCCCCCGGCCGGTTTTGGCGCTCCTCACGTTCTGGTGGCCGTTGCTTCTCTCGGTGAAAGCGCTCAAAGCACCGGGCCAGAACGTGCAGTTCTTGCTCACATACTGGCTATTCTACGCGTGTATTTCGGGCACCCAGCACCTTCTCGCGGGCCTGGCATTCCCGTTGTCCTCGGCCATCAACTTGATCCTTGACTTTCTCCACGTGTGGATGTTCTACTCCCACGGGTGTTTGGTGGCCTTGCACCATTACATTCCGAGCATCACCGGCCACACGAGTGCCGCAGCCATTGTCAACGCTTTGGACCATAAAGTCGTGGATCCGTTGGTGTCCATTCTTGTGGTGAGGAACCGACTTTTGCAGCGCGTCTTGGCGTCCCGCTCCTCGAACGTGCCCCCACTAGACGACTTTCTCTTGTTCAACCAGAGCCTTTGCGAACACCATGCCCTGCTGCCCACAAGACTCTCGTTTCTCCAGTTCAGTCTCCACTATTTCTGCTACGTTGACCTGGAGAGCGAGTTGCAAGCCCGGTACGCGAAATCACGCGGGGTGCTTGCCAGATTCGCCCCCTCGCTTTCTTCCTCGGTAGGGGGTGCTGCGTCCTCCAAGGCAAGTAGCCGTGTGTCTTCGCAGACAATGCAGAGCCGCAATGTGTCAGTGTCGTCTTCCAGAAATGGAAGTCTGGCCTGGCGCTCGGCACCTCAAACGAGACCCAGCTCAGGCCGGGCTTCTCGAGACGTGAGTTCCCATTCACAGCGCCTCCATTCACAGGGCTTATCTCAAGAAATGGGCCCCAACTCCAGCCTTGAGGAGCGCACCTATCTGCTGAAGCCAACCAGAGTTTCGCTGTCGCCTGCAGCACATTTCGACCGGGCTGCCGAACGCCGGCACGCGAGCATGACGACGTGGCCACAGTCTCCCAATGGCAGTGGGAAAATACATGTGAGAAAACGGGCAAAGCCTCGTGTTTCCAGTTCTACAGCAGCTGAACTCCCCTACCCTTTACAGTAGACAGGGACGAAAAAGCGGAACGAGAAGGCGTACATCCAAATATCGGCTCTGCGTTGGTCCCCAAACAAGAACAGCTCTATGAACTCGACTATACGTCATATCAGTGGCCACGAATACTAAGACAACGGGCCCAACCAATCAACAAGAAGAACAGGAGCCAAACGAAGCAAAACAAAACAAAATAAAACAGATAAAGAGCAGAAGCCAAATTACTCCCAGTTTTTTCAAGTGACTGTCCAAAATACTAGGGTGATAGCCATCTCATATCTGGCCCGGCTCGCAGCCAGTCTCACTATGCGCGCTCGCAACTACTTTCTTTCGCCATGTATTTGGCCGAGTACCTACCGAGATTGGAGCAGATCTCTGTAACCGTGGAAATTGGAGAAAAACACAATGCCATAAAAAGCTTGGCTTTACGAGAAAACGCGCTTTTCCTCGAAACGGGAGCAACGGAAGACGGCCAGCAAGCATCTGCAACCGATGCCTATAGAATCCATCTTCCAGTGCAAAAGACATCGGCCTTGGCCGGTGCCAGAATCTCTAAACTCGCCTGTGGAGAGGCCAGGGTCTCACTCACATTGACGCTCGAAAATGCCGCCTCAAAAGTGGCGCCTGCACCATTTACAGCGCTCTCTGGCTCGAATGGCGTATGGTCCGTCGAGGATCTTTTGAAGAAAACGCCACGCGACGCCAATGACGTCAGCCGGTTCAGTTTCTCGTGTGCTCAGTGCAACGCTGTCGTGGTGGATTCGGCACTGCACAAGTTCGTCGACATGCCGCTGGAATACTGGCACGAAATGATGGACTTCTGGCACTGTCATAAGCCCCACGAGGACCATCACAATGTCAATGACAAAAACTACAATGGCAAGCTCAGCCCTAGGCAGGGCTTTGTGCACGTGGGCTCGTCGTACATTCTCCTTCCGCAGCGGGACGAGAACTGTGTGTGTGGACGGAAGCTTGGAACGCTCGACGGCGAAGCTCTCAAAATCAACAAGTGGAATCTCCACCTTCAATACTCAGAGAAAACTGAAACGTATCCGCCGTTTTCGTATGTGTACTTTGCGATTCTCGATCGTGTCAACGCACTGGGGGTACGGAAGTTCACGGTGAGAACAGCAGGGACGTCTTTGGCGTATAATGTATGGGTCACGAGTGTGGGCTTAGACGTATCATACGGCGACGACAAAAGCCTATCAGAGTGCTTGAAGTTGCTCTATGCCGTACAGACAGACTCAAAGGACGATGACGTTGTCGAAGTGCCCGAGGAGGTATGGCGGTCTCTCGAGGACTACTTCGCAGAAAACAATATACTTCTCCCGAAAAGCCACCGGACCGTTGAGTTGATGGACGGTGCAATCAAGCGCCATTACAATGTGTGTTATTTGTCGCCTCAGGGAAATGCTGCCTAGCGCTTTGTTGATCTATGAAATCAGAGCCTTTGTTCAACAACTTGCTTTATGATGGGCACCACCTGTTTTCTGGAGGCGGCTGTGTTTTGTTGGTCGTACACCCTAAAGAACACAGAGCCGTTTATCTGTGCCATCTGTCGGGCCACGGTATCGTCTTTGTAAAAGCGGGAGGTTAACTCCAATTCCTGGGCCAAGGAAGCAAGTGGCTCGAGCGAAGCCTTCAGCGTGCTAAAGCAGAACTCCCGGGTGTAGATCTTGGTGTCCTTCTGTGAAAACGACGACGTGATCACCACCACGTCCAAGTGAAAACTCTCTGTCATCATCTTCAAGGACTCAAGCACCTCCGACACGGAAAACTTGCCCAACACCCAGCTGAGCGACTTGCCTATAGAAGAAAACCCCACATTGACAGTGTCGCCCAGCTTGCCCCTGAACTTGAACTGCTTGTAGTCTTTCCGTAAGATGTCGTAAAGCGAAAAGCCCCTCAAGTCCTTTTTCGCCGCTTTTAGCTCCGAGTACAACTGGGAAAACGCAGCAGGGGCCACACCATCTGTTTGCATCAGAGCCTCAGGGCTCTGCAAGATTTGCCCATATTCCACATACGCCTCGCGGTCGCCCGCCTCGACTTTCTGCTCCATGTTCGAAGTGTCGATCAAGAGAGGACCCACCAATAACAGCACTGCATCTTTGTCTGTGATTGGTCCATTTTTATTGTTCCAGAAATGATAAACCAATGCCGAACACGAGCCATTGCTCTGGATAACCCGCGGCATGGCATCGAGAAACACACCTTCGTCGGCATGGTGGTCGATAATTCCTGATACGAATAAACGCTTGTTTTCATAAAGGCCAGTCAAAACCTTGCCCTGCAAGTTACAGTGGTCCACCAAAACCACGTCCAACTTAATAGATGGAGACAGCTGAGTGAGCTCTTCCACATCGTCAAGAAAGAAAATACGGGTGCTGGAAATTTCGTGCTTGCTCAAGAGAAACACAATGTCTTTCCGAAGCCTGAACTCCTCTCGAGAAATATTCACAAGGGGCAAAAGCGCCTGTTCTTTCGGATTAAACCGGTGGTGGAAATACGCATATGTGATGGCACTCACCACTGAGTCCATGTCCGCCGACTGGTTTCCTGCAACAAACCGGACAACGTGCTTGCTAGACGGGCTAATCCGCAAGCCTTCTAGAAATGTCTTGATTGTCATGGCGTTGCGAAATTGATGAAATGATGGTGGAGAGTACTTTGAAGAGTTCGAGGATAGTCGATATCCGATGGGTGCGAACTGAGAAGACGGACCAATGGGCTTATCAAACATCATCTTGTAGGGACATATCCGCTAGTATCGTCTTTGTATACTCCACAATGCTACGCCAAATGTATATACTTAGTAGGTTTTACACGGAATGTTCGAAGTGCATCATCCATCTATTTGAGAGGTGAATATGTGCACACGTGGTTATATTGGAATCCGGACATGCACTAGTCAAAGACAGGAAGAAAGCTCTTATGGGCGGGGATAGTCCAATACAATTCACACACCATTTTACTTGACGTAATGCAAGGAGATATCCAACCACTGTCTCTCCTTGATCTCTGCTGGTGGCAAGGTGAAGTTGCCATATACGAGGAACCGCGTGTACCAGAAAAACCACATAGTTCCCAAAACAATGACCACCGTCATGGCAGCAAACTTTGGTTTGTTGATTGCCGACGGAGCTAAGCCTCTTTGAATCGAATTGGATCTATTCGTACAGAGGAACTCGGCAAATCCGCCGGTGAACAAAGCTGCAATCAAATGCGCAGGCAAGTAGTGATGTAAGAATTTCTGTCTGTTCATCAAAAAGAAAGGAAGGTAGTGTGCTGCCCATCCAATGAAGAGAAAGCCCAAGGTGTTGTACATCGTAGATCTGGACTTTGCACTCAAGATGTGGTAATTTCTGCGGCTTGTTACCAAGTCAGCAGCGACAAATCCCACGTACACCGCGAGGAATCCGACTTGAGCCCAGAAGCCAATGACATTACCGATAAAGAAAATTTGTTTTCTTTCCTCATTGTCATTCCAGAATGACACACCCGAGTAAGCAAGTGGCCATGCGTCGGGACTGGAGGCAAATGGATGTTCAGATGACAATTGATTGTTGTGGAAGAACATCAAACCCTGCAACTCCCACCATTTCTTCAAGAAAGGCATGGGAACAATGGTCTTTGGGATATGGTGATTTCTGGCATCGCTTTCAGGCATGCCCACAATTTCATCAACCACCCATATATTGTCCGAGTCGGGCACTTTCTTGTTTCCGCTGACTTCCTGTTGTCCTAAAGCCCACTCCGGTAATAACTCGTCATTGTGAGTCCACATAGCAACCACTGTGTCGATGTGAATGATCTTGAGCGGAGAAGCTTTGGTCTTGAGGATCTTGCGTTTTGGCAGTTTGTCGCTGTTGCCTCCTTCAGACAAACGCAAACGGAAAAGAGTTTCGTTATATCTAGCTTCAGCAATCTCGTCATTCACAACAACAAACTCTTCGTTGGTGCCCTTCAATGGAGACGCCACATCGTGAGTCAATAAGTAGCCTCCGGTCCCGACGTGCCTCAACCGAATTGCATCGTTGGTAAAAACGGCTTCACCCTTCTTGGCGCTGTTAGATGGCAAGATCTCCCACTGTGAATTTTGGTCCTCAAGTTCGTTTCCGTCTTGGTTGTAGATACACGTCACTTGTTGCAAATTGGAAGAGACTCTGCCATTTTCATACCGCAAGGGATAAACCAAGTCATGCGAGTGCAAGAATGCTTCGGTATCTTTGTGCTTAATGGTAAGGATGTCGAAATAGTTCACGGTTTTTGATGTTTTTACCAAAGCCGACTCTTCCAAAGTCTCTTGAAAGTCAGAGGTCATGAACGCGTCGCCCGGTCCGGATTTAGAAAGAATCTGGAAGTGCAAATAGAACCAGAACAAGTAAATGCAGAATGGTACAATGATCAAAGAAAATAAACGAGCAACAAAATGCTTCGAAAAATCCTCGATAGTGAGGCCTTTTCTGATGTCCAACAATATCCACAACTCGTGAACCACAGCAATACCAATGGTAAAGAATGTAAACACACCGACATATTTTGTGGAAATCACACAAGATAATGCAACACCCGTCAGGAGCAACCAAATCCACCACCACTGGGTGAAAGGCTGGCGCCGGTAAACACTGAATTTAGAGTATGAGAAAATTGTCACGGCGACACTCAAAATCAATGTTGCGTCCAAAAGAATCAACCTGGAGTCGACCACATGAGCGTTGTCAAAAGCAACGAGGGATGATGATAAAATACATGCAATGACAGAAAAGTTGAGGGTTTTCATCGTCAAAAACATCACAGGCACAACCAAAGTCCCTTGGATAGCCAGAAATGCACGGTATGCAACATAAGGAACGTTGTTGGCAATGTAGTTATCTCCAATGTTCTCAAATTTGAAACTGCCATCATATCCTACAAGCCATCCTGCCAAAGCAATAATCAATTTCGCAAAAGGTGGGTGCAAGTCAAAGAAATAAGTTCTCTCTAAATAATAAGAAGCGAACTTACCAAAGTGAACCTCATCGAAGACAACCTTATCAGGAAACCCAAGTATACGGAATCTCAAGAATGCAGCAAAAGCAGTGACCACGCTTAAAGCAATCCAGTAGTGCAGCTCTGGATCCTTCGAGACCAGTAGTTCAACCAGTTTTTCATCCGTGACAATTTTTGGAAAGTCAGCATCTGCAGTGGTTGCAGACGCTGTGGACTTCTTTCCTCTCTTCTTAAGCGTCTGGTACATATCGCAAAAGAAAACTAAGTTTTCGATTTTCAGAAGAATGTGCAGAAGAAACGAAAAGTGTTCGGGATTCACGTCTCAAAGTAACAACACTCATTCCGAGGATCATGTGCGCGTGTTCATTATGTGTCACGTGATGAGGCGCTTAGGACACGTCACGTACTTTCTTACCAAGGCGTAAACCACCACCAGATCGTCGCACTGCGCCTCACATGAACTTCTTAGACCGCTTCTGGTATCCACCTCTGCCCCTGATAATAGGAATAGAAGAGGCAGAGTGTACACGAAGTGTTTCACTTGCCCTGATATCCCTGACATGAGGGCTGTCTTGGTTTGGCGGTGCTGCTGACAGGGACAGGCTATCCAGGGATGGCAAGTAGAACCCACGGCTGTCAGAGCCTTCAACGATTTGTCTTGAAGCATGCCCAAAGTAGTCTCCGCTTGTATTTCCCGTAAATATCTGAGGTCTTGTGGTCATTGGTTTGGGATCCAGTGGCAGTGCGGAACTTGGGCGGGTCCGAGAGCCCACTCCAGGAATTTGAATTGGTTTCGCTTTCGATAGCTCGGCAATTCTCAAATTCTTTTCGTCGAGAGCCACCTTGTATTTTGACTGGATAAGATTGAGCTCTTTAATTTTGCGCTCATATTGGACCTCTCGTGTACGGAAGGCTTCTTCTATTTCCCGACATTTTTTGTTCAATTCAACCGTGCCATTCTTTTTTTGCATCTCCAAATCTGAGGCTACTTTGTCAATCTCTGCAGAAAGACTTTTGTTTTGTGCCTTGACAATGTGAAGTTGGTTGTCAAAGTTAGCGGTAATCTTTTCTTGCTCGGTCAAAAATATTGAAGACGCGGGCTTGTCTTTAGTATCTTTTTCAACGGCCGGCTTCAGAAGTGCATTCACTTCAACTTCAATTTCATGTTGCAATTGTCTAATCATGTTTTCCTTGGTCTCGAGCGTAGCTTGAAGACGCTGGAAAGCAAGTTTCTCTCTCGTCAAAAGAGACAGTGACTTCTCGTTCACCGCACGGAGCTCAATTGTCTCGTTTTGTAAAGCTTGCACTTTGGTGAGCAAATCCTTGATTTCTTCAGCTTTCTTTGTCTTGAAATTGTCTGAGTTGACTTGAAGGTTCTTCATAGAAGCTACGATCTTTTCAAGATCACCAATATGGTGGGCTTCTCCTTGCCGCTTTTTGCACGCAGATAAGTTTTGATCTCTGATCATTTTGTTAAATTTGAGCTTGATTTTCACGTAGTTCATCTTGTTGAGATTTTTCATGTAGCTGGAGAACTCTAGCTCGTTTTTCATCAAGAGAAGCTCTCGTTGGTAGAAGTCCACGGCATTTCCCGCGGATTGGAGGTCTTTGTTTTCTACATGCGGCTCGGCCTTCCCTTCTGTCTGAAGCTGCTTTGTGAGAATATCGGACACTGTGCTTGCTGAGCGCTTAGAGCTTGCAGTGTTACTAACAGCAGTATCAGTATTGACAATGGTCTGATTCGAAGCGGCGGTGGCTGAGGATGTGTAGAGCTTTTTATGGACAGTGAACAAATCCGATAGATGGTCATTTTTCTTTCCTTCTGTTGACCGATCATCCAACATGGTATCATCTTGATGGACACTGTTGTTGCCGTCAAAGTCAAAGGGCTTGAACTCGATCTCACCCTGCTCTGTTCGCGGCTGGACCGGTGAGTGGGGCTGAGTTGCGAGGCCGTTTTCCAAGGTGAGCCTTGTGGGGACAATCGATACACGCCTGTCCATGTTGAGCCAGTGGCTGGGTAGCTTGGGGTCAAATGAGAGACCCATAGAGCCCACGGACAGTTGGAAAGAGCCTCTTTTCGACGATGAGAAAACCCCGTCATTCGCAGGCAATAGCGGAGGAGAAGGAGTGAGGAACCTAGGATCAGATGTGTCGCTTGCAAGGCTGTTTGCAGACTGGATTTTCTGGAGAAGCCGATTCGGAAGAACGAGATCGTCCGGGACGGAGAAAAGGATATCTGGGTTCAAGGCAAAGCACTCGATGAGGACCTCCTGCTCGCCAATGTCTTCGTCCTTGTTCTTGTCGAGAATCCACCGAACGGGGTGGCTGAGTTCATCCTGGAGCGAGACGTTGTTGATGATGTTGGGGTGAACCATAAGCCGCAACAAAAGCGGAGCCGCCTTTGCCTTGAGCGCCCCCCGCGTGTTGCTGTCGTGCTCTAGGCACGCGAAGACGGTTTTGCACTCCAGTGCCAATTTTGTCGCCGGGTGCCGCCGCGTGTACTCGTGAGGGGCCCTGCAGAAGGCCAATAAGTTTGACGGGAACAAGCCGTACACCACGGTGGCGAGGTGCAGCGTGTTGAAGTGGCCGTCGGCGTAGACCTGTGTCTGCATGATGCAAGTTTCGTTGTCACCGTCGGCAATCTGCCAGGCCCCGCTGTCCGTGTCTGCAGGGGAAAGCAGGGCCCCGTGCTCCTTCCACAAGAGAAGCCGCGTGTACACGGCGAGAAGCTCGGGCAAGAATGCGGCAATGCGGTGGCACACCTTGCCCACGGTCATGAGCAACACGCTCAAGCAGCTGCCCAATATGGACTCACTGCGGTCAAGCAAAAGCAGGCGGAGCACGTCGGCGAAGAACGGCGTGTCGAGCATGCGCAGCACCTGCGACACGTTACTGGCCGCGGCGCGCGCGGCGAGCCCGAGAACCTTGGCCCGCAGCGCCGGCGCCGCGTAGAGCCCGTGGAGAAGCGAGAAGAACGGCTGCGGGTTCTTGAGCCCCCACTCGCGGAGCATGGCCGACGCGTTCCGCTCAATGAAGCGCACGCGCTCGGCATGGAGCTGCGTGGCGGCCTCGGCTGGCAGCACGTGCACGCCGAGCACGTCGTGCGCCGCGGGGCTGCCGCCCAAGTACACGCGGGCAACGGTGGCCATGACCAGCAGGGCAATCGCGAGTCGGCGCTGGAGCAACGCGGCGTCGCGCGTCGCAAGCACGTCCGACGTCACGGCGCGGACAAACGCACGTGCCTGGGCCACAAACGCAAGGTCGAACCCGGCGCTGTCCACGGCCGGGCGGAGGTACGTGCGGAGCCAGAGGAGCACCTGGTCTTCCGTGAGCACGGGCAGGAGCCGCGTGAGAAGCTCGAGGAAAAACACCTCGCGCGACACGTCGCCGCTATCCTTGACGTGCTCCTCGTGGGCGGCGCGCAACTCGTCGTTGGCCGAGCCGGCGGCTGTGTCGAGTGTGTTGTGGCGCTCCGTGTACGCGTAGATGGTATCGTAGAGGGCCTTGATCTGGGGCGACGGCTCGGCCTTCCAGTCCAGGGCGCAGTCCCAGGACGCAAACACGCCTGCGAGCGCACGCTGGAGCGCACGCGACGAGCCGGACATGCGCTGGGGGGAATTCGGGGCGGAAATGCGTTTTTTTTCTGGCCTCCGGTGGGTGCTGGGGTAGGGCCCAGTTGCAAATTGCAATCATGTTCCGGCTGATGCTCGCGGGTGTACGGGTGTCTGGCGCTCGCGGCGAGGGCCTGGGGCAGAGGGCACCTGCTTAGTGGTGACTGGCCATGGCAAGATGTGGTCAGGCTGAACATGTGACTGGTGAAACGAGCTGAGATGGCAGCTTTCTGTATGTGCGTGAGGTGCTGTAAAAAATGCCACGTTTGGAATTGGGGAGATTCCACGGGGATGAACTTCACCATGATATTGGATATAGTATGGGAACGGACGAGGGGAATGGCAATCAAAGAGAATGGCCATCGTTGAGCATGAAAAGCAGGGGCAATTAGTGGGAAGTCGGTGGAGAATTAGTAGGAAATCAATTGGTAGGAGATCAGTGGGTAGGAAACCACGAAGTATGAATAGTGATGGGTGGGATATCAATGCGTAGGAAATCATGGAGTTTATAGAACCATGGATGGAAACCATGGCGTCTCAATATCAAAGGGTAAATAAATGGGTAAGGGAATCAACAAAATTGGGTAGGAAATCATTGGGTAGGAAATCAATGAGTATAGAGTCACTATGATATTGGCTGGAAAGTATTGGGAACAGAACGAAGGGTAAGTAACTCAAAGGTTATGGCCATCGTTGAGTATGGAAGTCAATCCGAAATCAATGGGAAATAAATGGGAAGGAAACCATGGAGTGTGAAAGTCAATGGGTAGGAAACCACTATGATACTGGAAAATAATGGGTATGGGAATCAATGCGTAGATCATGGCGTATGAAATCCAAAGGGAAGCAAATGAGCATGGAATTCAAAAGATCGAATAACCACTGATATAATGAGTATGGAAATTAAAGGGTAGAAGGCCTCAATGAATTCACTGAAACACTGAAACTGCCTTGTAGGTACTCCACTTGACAGGCAAGCACACCAGAAGTGTGACCCCAAATTGAGGAATCATCGAGATCAATAAAACATCAAGCACATGAGGCTGCCATTATCCAGCTAGTGGAACGTCAGTTCGTCAATTTTAATCTGTAGAGGTTGCAAGAACATAGATCAAGACCGCCCTTGCCCTGAGTGGTCAAAATGCCGTCTATGCAAGTCTGTCTTTCAATCTGAAAAGCAATCTGAACTCTGCTTCTTTTTAAGATTGCCAATAACAACAAGGTCGGGGTCAAATGTTGAATGTACCAAAAGCTCTTGTCAGCGCCCGTCGCCAACACATTAGATTCATTGGGTCCTTCGACCGTTCAATTTGAATAGTACAACACACAATACAAGAAGCAATATGTATTTATTTATAGAAGGAATTCTCATATGTTGAACCGCGCTTATTGCAGTCTTCATGAAGCAGGCTTTCCGCCTGTTGCACCCGTATACACTATTCAACAGGGCGTGCGGTCAAAAGCGCGCCTTCACTAACAATACATATTCCACATGACCAAACTGGGTCGAGTCTCGACAGACAATTTCGCTATTGAGTTAGACGCTAATAATTATTTTTAATGGTCGCAGAGAGTACGAAACGAGAGCCTGCGCTAATTTGGGCGTCGTCGAAAAAACAGATTATTTCTGATCTCACAGCACAGAAAGGTCGGATCCACCCGCTTACTTTGCTCGTGGTGGATAAGTGCGATGATATTTATTGGAACGCTTTCAAACAGAACCTCATGAAGTAGTCTTATATTTCTAACAGGTACAATGGTAAAGGGGCATTTTAGTTTGAGTGCCCAGCGCTTTAGATGATCATCCACGACTTCCAAGTCCCACATACCAGCCAGAAACATTTTAGAAAAAAAGACCATGAAATCAAAAAAAAAAAGATTGAAATGTCTTGAGAAAAAAAATACATACAGCAAATCACCTTTGCGTGTGACGATGTTTATATGGGAGCCACGCAGCCCCATCGTTTTACGTTTATACCTCTCGCGATTAGGTCTTGCCAATAAGCTTTGACATACCGGAAGTTAGTTTAAGTTCTGGCTATTTTTCTATCTTTTTTGGGTTGATGCCTCTGCCCTGGCACGCGTCAATCACACACGCTGTATATTGCGAGTTGCGGAACTCACCAGGAAATTGTTTCGTACGTTAGTTCATGGAACGAGAAAGCCAAAACTTAAAGCATGCTGACTCAGAATCGGTTGCCTGATCCCCTGAATGAATCATTGTTTAATCTGGTCTGTTCAGCATGGTGTACTTAAACTGCAGTCGTTTACATGTGGTCACCTTGCGGATTTCATGAGCCCGCTTTCACTTTCAAGTCCTGGCTGAATACATATCTCGATAGAACCACTCAAAATTTTGTATTTGCTGGTGCTTTTTTTTTAAAAATTTTTTTGGTCTTGCAATTTTTGCAGAAAGAAGGTGCTATTCCGTCTCGGTGCTAGATGGTGTCGATACAGTACGTTCGCCTCGCTCTCAATGCCCTACTACGTCTTAGAAAGTATGGCTCGACAAGACAGGCAGCAGGAACCCCATTTAACCATCAGCACCGCTTGAAGGTCTTGGGGTCAAGATAATTAGAGCTCAAGCTTTCACTTCAGATAATCGTTTGCCGATCGACAGGTTCCGTTTTGGGCTGAGTAATTTCCCGGCTGAGTCCCCTGGAACAAGTTATAAATGGGTGCGAAATCCACACCTCTGGTTACGACCACGCCCCATTGAAGTCGCACGCGGGCAATTGCTTTTACATGAAGCTGTTAAAGATACTAGCGTTTTCTCGTGTGTATATCAGGCTAGTATGACATCTAAAGTGGGGGGGGGGGAGGGGAAATTTGTCTGCCGTAGGAAGTCATCGGTGTGTTCATGGACAGACTGTCTGGCCAATTGCTCCCACTGGTATCGGAAAAGCAACTCACATGACACTCTGAACCATTGGGCAGCAAAACAAAATGTTTTATGTTGCAATTTTCTGGCGTTAGTACCAGCCTCTTTTCTTTGGCTTTCTAGTTTTGCAAATTCTCCACGAAGCGAACCCCAGTGGGGATCTCCATGTGCGAAAGACCCAAGGCTCAATGGGCATGGGCCCCGCAGAAGCAGTTTTCTGGCCTGAGAAATATCTGAATCAAAGACTCGGCGCATGTTGGAGAAAGACTAGGATGAATGTTTTGGAAAGAAGGCTTCAAGCAGACGCCTTGGTTCGCCATCCGCGTCCAATATACTGGGACCACCGAACCCACCATGCTCACGCGACGCGCTATTGTGAGGCCGCTAGATGGCCATTAAAGTGAGTGGGCCTGGGTATGGGCAAACATTTCTTGAACCTGAATACCAAATAAAAGAGAGACAATAAAATACAGAAGGACGACAATATATAAAAGGGAGACACAATTTTGAAGGACGACAAAATACAGAGGGACGACAAAATACAGAGGGACGACAAAATACAGAGGCAAGACGAAACCAGTGAAGGCCAGGAAGCACCGTGGTCACGTGACTGCGGCCCCGCGATATGCTCAACCTCCAACCATCCAGCCCGCCCCATTGTACCTCTTTCCAAAAGTGCAAGCTTTGATTCGGCCAACAAACCCAGCGCCTGTCTACAAACCCATGGCACGTGCCAGCCTGCACTCCGGCGCCGCTTCTGCGTTCGGCGACGACCAGGACCGCCAGCGGCTAGACGCCCTGATCCAGCAACATTTGGACCAGCGACTAGGCCCCTATCTGCTGCTCCCGGACAAGGCCGCCTACATACAGGCGGCACACACGTTGCCCGACACAGCGACGGAGTATTTCTGCATCTTGGCCAAGGCGGCGCTTCCCGGCCACCACTGGCTATGGCTCCACGTGATCGCTCGCCTAGCCCAGATCAGCAACGCGCTCTTGCACCAGCGGCAGCTACTTGCAGCCACGCTGGATATCCACGTGACCGGCGCCACGGCCTTCTTGGCGCCCGTGTGGCAGCAGGTGGCGCGCCACGCCGAGACGCTCTTTGACGCGGCCGACGCGGCGTTCCTTCTCGCCGACAGCAGGGCCCAGGCCCTCTTTTGCGCGTGCGTGGACGCCGCCATGCGGCTTTGTGCCGCGGACCAGGCGCCTTTGAAACACGGCCTGCTCGTGGCCTCCGCGGGGCGGGCCGTAGCGCGCTATTTTGCCGCCGGCCAGGCCCAGCCCCAGACTGACTTGTACCGATTGAAGCTCGGCTTGGTGGCGCCGCTCGTGGCGCTCGCGCAAGCAGCAGTGGTCACGGGCGTGCCGCGGGCGGTGCTCCCGCTCATGTTTCCCGCGGCCCCGGCCGAGCCCGCGGTCTCGGAGACGGCTCTCCCGCACGTTGTCCTTGATCCGGCGGTGTCCTTGGGCCTCATCACCGACTACTACCGCTACTTCGCGTTCTGCCTCGTGACCAGCGTTGTCGAGGCAGCCGCGATCGACGATGTGCTCACCAGCAAGGCGGACGTGTTCTTGCGCGTGTTGCTCGCGCTCCCGCACCTCCACTTGTCCAACTATATGACCGACGCCGTCGGTGTGGGCGCGGCGCCGCAGAGCACGCAGCCACGCGTGGTCTCGCCCGCCGCGCGCGAGGAAATCGCGTTTTTCTACCTCCTCAACTGCTTGCTCCGATTGCGCTCGTTGCCGCAGTTCGCTGCGCCGCCCCAAACCTTCACCAGCGAGCGCCGCTTCTTCGTCGCCTCGTTCAACAAGCGGTGCGGCGCCGAGCTCGACTTCTCGGCGTCCGCGTCCCTGTCCCGCACTGGAAGCGTGGTGTCCATGACGCGTATGGCGGACCCTTCGCCGCTGCACGTGCCTCCGGCCCATGTCATGCTCAGCTGCGTTCTCACGGAAGGCACGTACAAGGAGAAGGTGCGCCTCGTGGCCGAGTTCATCAGCCTCGCGGGCGACCCCCCAGCCGCGGGCTCCGTCAAGTGCTTGGTGGAGACTTTCGATATGAGCGCCCTGCACCAGCGCACCAACAACTTCGCCATGGGAGCCCACGACGTGCTGCGCCTCGTCCACCGAATCGACCCGCAGCAGTACCCAGGAAAGGTCTTGTATGTCAAGGCAATCGACATGGTGGTCAGGCTCTTGCAGCTCGTGGCGCTTAAGCACTTCATCCCCGTATTCAACTGCTCGCTCAGCCCAGCAGAGCTCTTGGCGCGCCTTTTCAAAACAAATTATCTGCTACGCGACGTCTTGCTGGTCAAAGATCTTCTCTGCTGTGACAGCAATGAATTGCTCAGTGTGCAACACCGCGGTCCTCTGTCTGAACACGACTTGCTCTCCGCCCAGTTTCGCCTTTTGGAAACCACCCGCATGCTCAAAAACGACGTCCAGAAATTGATCTAGTCTGGTTGTGTTCACGGCAGCAATTGATGTTTGCTTAATGCAATGTTCTGGCTTTATGCGTGCGAGCAGCAACCTTGGTCTGGACTTTTGTTCCAACTGATGATACGCGGCCAAAATCGGTATGCTGATTCTGCGAATAGCATTTGACATTGGATGATTGTTGGCTCGCAATGGCGTTGAGGCTTCATTGCCACATTTCGAAAGGACAGAAAGGTCGAAAATTTGAAAATGGCTTTCTTCCTTCGTGACCCGGATGCATACCCTGAAACGACGTATTTTAATAAATCAAGCCATCGGTTGGGTACACGAATAAAGTACGGTAGACACTTCTCTATTTTTTTTTTTTGCTCTTTATCTGATTAGAAGAACAAAACTAGGTTACCTTTTTTAATCGCCTTTTCTAAATTTAGATTTTCTTGGTCTCGAATAGCAAATGCTCAATAACGCTTTTCATAAAAGACATGCGCACAATCGATAAGCGTATGCTTTTTCATTGAATCAGTATGATAACGGTGTTGCTTGGAAACAAGAAGCTTCACTAGCTCAGTTGGCAGAGCGTCAGTCTCATAGGCAATCGCTTGTGCAATCTGAAGGTCGACAGTTCGAACCTGCCGTGGAGCACTTTTTTTGCCTTGACTTGCGCTGGATAACCGTACAAGAGGCCTTTGGATGAACGTCATTTTCACCTCATTTGTATTGAATAACACTTCCTGACTTGAATCAGATTTATTATTTCAAACTCATATATGCACATCTTCAACTCTCCTGTGTGTTCATGGGAAGCAAGAAATGACCTATTGACCGGTGTTAAACTATCATTTACTCCAAAATTGTGAATTCAAAAAGCAAACACATCTCAAACTGATACAATCTACAAAGGCCTTTTTATCCCTAGTACTGGCTTTTTCTGACAATGATTGATCGTATCCAACTCAAATGATTACGTAGGTCTATATTTCTGAACCTCTGGTGAGAAAAGCGTTTTGGACAATCACTTTTTGTATGCTTGTTATATTGACTATGAACACATATATGATTTCCCAAACGTGTCCGAGAACTGCCGCTCTGGAATTGCAGTAGATAGATATATTCTCGAGCTTCAAAAAGTGGCTTTTGTTGAGCTCCTATATTACTGAATGGCTTTAAAACCTTGTTGAAATAAGTGACAATAAGAGAAAATGAACTTCCAATGACTACGTAGCAAAACGATTTGTATTGTGCGCAAACAATGTCATATTTTCTGGATGGTGTTAACCGGCTTTTCAAAATTATGTACTAATGTTGCCAAAAAGACATATCCGAATAAATCAACTAATCAGTATTTTCAGGAAGCGTTCGAGTCTCTTTCTAATACTCAAAGAGTATCGAAGCAAGTATTACTCTTTGACGATTGCACTCTCTACAGTCCCTTGTAGCAATGGTTTGTTAGATCATGCGAAAAATGTGAGACTTCGCAAAAGATAAGGGTATTATAGCGCTATTTGATCACTGCTTCTCTCGGATAGCATAGAAATCACATCTGCCTCATATATCTGATTTGGAGGTCACGCGAAGGGAGTACCTGAAACTCAAAGGAAAACTGTAAGAGTAGTTCGCAATGAAATCTGACGGCGCTCATAGAGGGAGGCATATATCCATGCATGCACATACAAGAACCTTCATATGTTGAGCTGATATCAGGGACCTTACACTATAAGTCGCTTCAACTAAGATGGTTGAAGAGGACTTTTTTGGTATATTCATCTGAAGGAAAAAACAAGATATTGAAGTGATGAGGGATCGATGAATGGTAACCCGTAACTTTTTTAAAGAAGCATCATACTATATGGTGTCACTGGAGGGATGTATGCTCCACCACTAACAAAAAACTACAAAGAAAAATATATAATAGATCACAATATTATCTCTGGTGAGAAGCCGCGAGCACTAAGTCCCGAAGTTACCCAAAGAGGATGTGACTCCCCTCGAAACGACCTGCTCATAACCAATGTCAACCACTTGAACAAAGTTAAATAATTGTCATCGTACCATTATTTTCCTAAGGGCCTGTAGCTATAATTTATTTGACAAGATGGCGGTCCCCGGTGTTTGTTCAACAACGGCCAAAAGATAATATCTCGATTTAAAGGTCCGGAATGCGAGGTTATTTATAATTTGCATCCAATCAGCCCCTTTGAGTGGTAGTCTTAGGTAGGCTTTTTTTTTTGCTAGATCCATCTGATTAAAGGAGCAAAAACATATAAATGATATATGTAAAGCACTCTTAAACAATTCCCAGCTACTTACCAAACTCAAGATGATACATCACATGGTGAAAATTATTCGTAACAATAGCCAAGTTATTATCAGTCTCGGCGAGATCTATCATGGGTCGATGTTTTGTTCGAAAAGTCTGACATGTTCCACAAAAAAAGTACAAAGTGTCGAAACTCGACCCGTCCCCTTCCGTTAGTCGCGACCTGGACGGTCCTCTTGGCCCGTATCTGTTTACTTATTGGATATATATTGTCAGGATAAGGACCACGGATTATAAAACACTTCCTGTCAAAATTGCTTTACTAAAGGGTTGAACTCAATTAGTATAATGGCAGAAGTGAACGAATGTCATTGTGGCTTTTTATTGTTAAAGTTTCAGATCTCTAACCTCACATCAGAAGCTTCACTAGCTCAGTTGGCAGAGCGTCAGTCTCATAAGCAAACGCTTGTGCAATCTGAAGGTCGACAGTTCGAACCTGCCGTGGAGCATCATTTTTTGGCTTTGAAATATTATCCGTGTAATATTTTCATCAAGAATGGATTCGTTTTTACTACAGTCGTGTCATATCTCGTCAAGTTAATTGCTCTACTTATTAATATTTTGCCTTTTAGCTTGCAGCGCTTCAATGTCTCCTTCAGTTTCAAGCTGTCTTTTATGCTCTGCGCCAGGCGTTGTACCCTCTTGACTGTCGATTTCAAATGGATCCAGCTGCGTGCCCTGGAAAGCGGCTTGCTGCAATTGTAGGTCTCTCTGGTTGATATGAGGCCTTGATGCATAGGAGCTTTGCAGCCAAAAATTTGGATCGGCAGAGTGGTTTCGCAACTGATGTGATTGAGTACTCCTCAATTCCCTTTGGACAACTTCGATTGTATTCTTTGTGGTTGCCGGCAGTGTGGAAATGGATGGAGCTTTCGCCCCATTGCCAATGACAGTCAGCAATACTGGGGCCACATTCGCATTATCAGAGGAAGATGGTAACCTTGCTGAACCAGGAGACTCGCCAACTCGTACATAACGTCTCGCTTCATTGAAAAAATTGGTGGCGAGCTTTTCCGGACCAATCAACTCGATGCTGTTTCGACACGGAAGCGCAACACCGATACCATCTAAGGCCACAATTCTGCTGTGCCAGCTCATTGGCATTGTGGCGGCCAACATTTTGTACATAGCCTTTTTCTGTCCGCGGAGAAGAAGCTGCTCTGCAAAAAGACGCAGAAGTCTTGTTTGCGGGCTGAATCTTTGACGCTCCTGCTCTGCAGCCATCCGCTGTCTCTCCTGCTCAGCTTCTTCTCGCTTCCTGTGTTCTTTTTCAGCTGCTAATCTTTGTCTTTCTTCTTCTTCTGCCTTCTTCTGTCGCATAATTTCCGCCTTTTTCTCATATTCCGTGACGTAAAAGTTGAGGATATCTGGGTTGAGCTTTAGAAACAGATCAGTGTCCCGTTTGCATTTTGTCGCGAGTTCAATTGCGAAAGGAAATAGATCTTTCTTGGCAAGTCTCTTTGTTTTGGCATTGGGAGAGTCGGGGACCATGATCTCCTCTATCTCCTTATGTTCGTAGCAAATTTCACGGTATATTTCGATGAAGACTCCACTGAACGTATTGTCAATCAACGCGGTAGGGCCAAATCCATTGTTAAGCTTCCGTATGTCTGTCAAAATGTGAAGAAGCGATAGGTTTTTTTTCAACAGACCATTTGCTTGGTCAGCCCGCACCATCTCAACCACCTTCTTGGCTCGGGCAATGAAAGTGGAATATGTAGTAGCGTATAAGAAATACTTCTCTTGTCCAGGATCGACGTCGAGAACTTTTCTTATTATTGTGCAAATCAGTGTACATAATTGTCCCCAAATACTGACAAGCAGAGTCATTGTAGAATTGGCTCGTCTCAACTTCGGATACATAAGTACCAACGACGTGAGGTCTTGCTCATGCCCCAACAACATGATATAGAATCTTGAGTACTGATTCATGTACTCAAAATGTTTACCAGGTCGTTCGAATTCCGGTTTCCACATAACAAGGAATGTCTTGTTGCTAGACCTCAACGTGAAATACTTAGACAAGAGCTCTTTGGCACCAAGATGATCATTAAACTCGGTGAAAAGGATTTTCGCCTGACGATAAGCGGGTTTATGATACCATGCCTTTTTGTCAAGAGAGATTAATATTTTGAGCCCAGAAATGATGCCTTTGAAAAGCTCGCTTTTTGTCTCTGCTTTGAACTCATCAGTGGTTGTCAAAGTTGTATTCAAATTCAAAAGTCTCATCCCTTCTTCAAGACTAAGTTTTTGTGACTTCACGAACTTGTAGAGTAGACTCAAAAACTTGTACGCGGGCTCAAGCACGGGATCACCCGAAAGACTTTGTTTCTTAGCTTCATCGCTGGCTTGAATTAAAGTTTCAAGCACGTTAGTTGGATTGAGATCAAGTTTGGCTTTTACTTTTGCTGAGTAATAGAGAGAGTTCCAATCTTCGCAATTATTCTTGACAGCTAGATCTAGACAGCGGTTCATAAGCACTAAGCAGTATTTCTGTGTCACGCTAGGTCTGTCGGCAACTTTCAAAAACAAAGCTTTTTCATTTTGCCTCACGAATTTGGGATTGCAATGCACCTGAAAAGCAAGCATATCCATCGGGCTTCTGGATGCGCTGTAAAGCTCTTTGGCAAAGCTATTCATTAGCATGCTCATCACCAGTTTTATGGATTCAGTATCAGTGTGTCTTTGCTTGGTGATAGTACTTATAGCCATCAAGTAACAGATTAGTGCCTTGCGTTGGAGATTGGCGGTTGGCACTTTTTTCTCGATTGTGCCAATCTTATCAGACGTCCAGATCAAGTCGTCTTCGACGATGAAGCTATATGCCTGAGCAAGTAGAATCCAGCTTTCCACCCTATCACTTCCATAGATGAGATCATATGTAAGAACAGTGATTATTCTTTCTAGCTCAACAGTCCGGCTTTGCGCAGACTTCTTACGAATTTTGTAAGAATTGAACATCAAAACAGCTTCCATGAAATATAGCCCTTTCTCTGCGACTCTATTCTTATGTTGTGGAGGAAGCATCTCGAGTGATTTCAAACCATAGAATGATTCTTTGATGAACCTGGCCCCAATCAAAGATCTATCGATAAATTTCTCAATAGAGCTCATATTTTCACAAAGAGACCTATCGTTTTCCACGTCAGGATCTCCAATGATTTCGAAAAGATCATCCACGACTTGTTTCAAATCATTTCTTGGTGTTTGGGTGAGTGGGTTTGTTTTAAAACAAAGCGGCAATATGAAGATCGCCAATTCCTGCGCGCTCTTTTTGTTTAGTTCTGCACTTTTGACAGTATAATGATCGACTGGGAATTGACCGTAGAGCTTGACCTTATAGTGGTATCTGCAAGACATGATTTGTGTGAGCTCTGTTTCTGGAATCTTGGACAAGCTTACCAATGAGTCTTCGGCAAATTTAAGAAATAAGCCCTTCGAAGAATCACAGAGGTGGCGCAACCCAATTTGGTGATGAATGAAAATCAAAAAATTGCTGATTAAAGTATTCTTTTCTGCGACATCATTTCCCGTGATGTAGTTAAAGCAGTATGTCAGAAGAATTGTAATGCAATCGATGAAAAAATCTTTGAAATATTCGAATGATGCCTCTGATTTCGTTGCTAGGGAAACTTTCCGACTTGTGTACAATGCGCCCTCTTCGTGCAAGCTGAAGATATAACATATCTCATAGATTCTCAATACATTTGACAATTGTCGAATGTCTCCTGTCCTTGAAGGAAGTTGCCATTTGTTCTCAGATAAATACTTTAAAAAGGTTCCTAAATGACTTCGATAACAAGAAATGAGGCTTAGTAAGACAACTTGCTTGTCGTTCTGAATACTTTTGTAGGAAGAATTTCCCAAAAAGTCAAGAACAAACTGAAGATAATTTTCAAGACCTTTTTGAAAGTTCTGAAACGATTCCTTTTGATAGTACAGGAGAAGAATGTTCCACAAACTCAATTTTAGGTCAACGGGGCATTCAGAGAAAAAGTCTTTGACACTTGAGAGAGAAACCTTATCCAAAACAGCGAGTCCGTGAATCACTGAATTCACAAGCAAGCTACCTTCCGTATCAGTTTGAAGGGGCTCTGAATCTTCATCGTGCTCGTCGAACAATATGCTTTCTAGAAGGGAGATGGTTTCCTTCGTAGTTATGGTTTCCGAGTCACTTTGGTCCAAGATCTTGGAGAAAACAGATAGAATAGACGTTGTAGAAAGCCGCCTGTGGAGACCATCAATAGAAAATTCGCCTATCTTGGAGTAATTTGGGTAAGAAATCTGAACATCTTTTGCCGAGGACATATCCGTAAGAAGTTCGGCTAGTTTGTGCAAATGAACAACAACAAACTTTTTTTCTCTCCACAGGAAACTCTTGGCAGCGACGTAGTAGTTGGAAGCCCAGTAAAAGCGAATAATAAACTCAATCTCTGTATTTTCAAGACGATCTATGCTTGAGAATGCATTTTGAAATAGCTTCCACCATTTGTCAATTCTATCTTTCATTCTCAATAGATCGATGGCTGTGGTGTTGAAATTTGATTTCACTGACTTCACAAAACTTGTGTGTGCTCCGGATTCTAGGCTTTGTTCTAGTTTTTCTTGTGTGACAATATAACAGTTGACAAGAATTTCATAAATGCCCATGGCGAGCTTGATATTTTGGAATTTTCCAGAGACCCGTTGGCTTTGTTCACACATTTCAAAGTAAGATGATTCGAGTTGCATTGCCCAATCTGTCACCGCGTCATATAGTTGATCATCCCAAGTCAGTTCTGTTATTGAAGCTAGGAGGTGCAGCAATATCTCAATTTTGGCCTCATTCACATGACAGTGTCCGCAAAAGTATTTTGAGATGAATTCCTTCACAAAGGCCAGATCCTGTGAGTCGTACAAATTACCAAAATGTTGCTTCGAATCGCTAAACTGGTTGCCAAAACTTGTAAGCACGTCAATGAGCCGCTTCTTATCGCTGTGGCTTTTTCGTTTCGAGTCACTGTTGTTCTCGGGGAAAAGGATGGCGTCATATTTCTGAGACTTCCACTCATTAAGAATCTTCAAGAAATCGTCAATGTATCCGGTCTGCGAATTATCTATCTCAGCGTTCACAATGTGACCTACCATATCGTCTAGGACCGGCTGCTCGACGCCATAGATGGTTTTAAACAATTCATTTAAATGTTTAAAGAATAGCTCGGTTTCAACGAAGTATTGTCTGATCAAAAGGATATCATCCATTTCCACGGGTGCCAGATCCCCCGGGTTCAATCTTTTCGAAAGTCTCATGGACGCTTTCTCTGAGGACACAGCCGCTTCCTGTTGCTCCATATTGATAGGAGTAATTTGGGGCTCCTCTTCAGGAGTATCCTTCAGAACATTCTCGATGTGCATATCAGTAGCCATCGCCAGGGCTTCGCTTTCGGCCGTGATTTCTGCTGCTGTTTTCTCCTCCGAAAATTCAAATGAAATGTCGTCGAATGTAGTGTCGGATGTAACGTACGGATCAAAATGCTTGCACGCAATTTTTTGAAAGTCCTGAAGCCTCTCTTTGTCCTGATTTTCCCGCATTGCGCCGTTTATGCTGTTAATGACGTCAAACCATGACGCGCCCGGTTTTAGAGATACGGAGAGAGTGTGAAACTGCATTTTTTTCGCCATCTGGGCCAAGAAGTCCTGCTTTAGCGGTAGTAAAAAAACGAATTTGAGCTCCAAGTCAGCGGAAGCCTCCGTGCTAGTAAAGCCCAACTTCTTGAACCGTCTCCACATCGGTTCTGCCCAGTCGTTTAAGCAGGAAATGCTGAGACACTCGTTGCGTTCACTGGAATACGATATGCAATATTCAAGGGCAAATTTGGCTAGCCTTCGCACTCCAAGGTATGTGTAAATCTCGAAGAGAATTCGAAGCAACGAATCGTCTCCCTCCTCGTAAACTAGACAGTTGACAAATCCGTCGAGCATCGTATAGAACAAGTCTTTCTGGAGCTCGAAAAGGCCCAAAGCAGGCTCTGTCTCGCGCTCGGTTTCCAAGACTCCAGCAAGGATCTCAGAGCCGGCCTTCAAAATGTTGAAGTGGAGAAATCCTCTGTTCCGGAAGAACAAAAATCTGATCTTCTTGACATTTTGGGGAATGAAACTGAGCTCTTCGGGCTGGAGATTGCTGCTGCCATTTTGGAGCCCCTTTATGAAAGACACCTCTTCGTAAAAATGGTTGGTCACCACAGCAGAACTCGCCAACTCCTTGTATTTTTTGTATGCGTCTACCCACAGCTTCTTGCTTTGGAGTGCAATGGCTTCCTGGTACAATTTGTACGCGTTTTCGATCTCGAGCTCTCGCGTGTGTTCTTCTTCCAAATCCTTTTTAGACGCTGACACGTCCTCCACCAAATTTAGTGGTGAAAACGCTGACTGGATGTTAGTATGTGGCTTCTTGGGACAGGGATATGTATGGGGGACATCACTTCTTGCATGAGGTTGTGACATACCATTTTTGCGCTCTGCCTATAGAAAATTATTCCCAGAAAAGGAAGATAGTGATGTACTCTGCAACTAACTAATGGGGTTCGGCGACTTTTGGTATGGCTTTTGACCCATGCGAGACTCGGCCAGATGAGAGTCTGAAAGCGCGCCTCGCCTTGCCTAGCCGATCTAATAATTAAGCCTTTTTTTTTTGTTGGCTACATCCCGTGATAGAATGGCAGCAAGCCGGGCACATTTTTCCCCGTTGCTTTTCTTGCACTTTGTACTACAGCATTCTGTTGTGTTCATATCTGTGATTGTCCTCTATAAATTACTTGTAAATATCTTGCCATCCTAACCTTGTAACCCCAGCACCTAGAAGCGCACGTCCACACGCCCAATCATGCCCACAATCAGCAATTTAGTCCAATTGAAATTATGCCACGACTGGATTTGTCGTTTCCAACTCACTCGCTTTCACATCTGAATCCAGTCCTGTGGAATCCATCTCATCGCCAAGTTTCTCCCGCTCTATTTCTTCTTCCCTTTGACGTTTCTCCTCCCTGAGTATGCCTCTTCCTCCCGTGAGATACCACCCGATATAGCAGCCAAAAATGCCAAGTTCCATGACTAGAACAATTGCGTACAACACAAGACTCATGATATCCATGTTTCCGACGACTACACTCAACATCGAGAACAAAGCACCCGCAGAGTCCATCCCCAAGAAAAAAAAGTTGAGCCCTACAACCCGGCCCTTTCTCTTTGCTATCTCAAAGTAGGGTGGAACGAGTCCTAATGCTAGAAGCACAGATGCGACAATGCCAACCACCAACATAGGCCACGTCACACCCCTGCGGTATAGAGGACGAAGCCATAAGATGAACCCGACTTCTGCGCCAATAGCACAGATCACAAATCCACCAACATAAAGTGCAAGTTTCAGTTTCTTCATACTGACTGGTGGGTAATAGAGACTCTGTGCCCAGGAAATGATGCAAAAGAAAGTGAAGAGCTGCGGCTGGATCCGAAGCGGAATCGACCCATCTGTGCCGAAAAAATAAATAGAGAAAGGAACACCACTCAACGCCCAGAGAAACATCATCATGGGTGGCAAGCCTGTGCAGTCTTTTGCCTTGTAGTTTCGTAGAATCTGGGGTGTCAATTGGATACACCATAACACCGTTCCGATGGTGCCCAAGACATTCTCTGCAACTGCACTACCCATTGTTCTTATTAATAAAGTAAATTCCCTTTTAGCTATGTGCTAGAAGACACGAAGCTGATTTCAAATTTTCTTGCTGTTCAAGGAATCCCTAAGGACACACGATGTTTAAATAGCTCTGTATCTCGGTCTGCACGAAAGCGCAATCTGCTTTTCCGGTGCTGCATCTGGCGCGAGACCATCTCCTGGTCCACCGACTGGCCCACACTCAACCCGCACGATTGTAAGTGCAGGCAAAGCTTTTCCGATAAGAGATCACCAAATTTCGATTCATTGATCAAGATAAGAACAGGGTCTTTTTGTTCGAGCACAGGACAAAGGAATTAGGGTGTATTGTGCTCTTGGCAAGCTCGCAATTCAATGTCAGCACCTACTAACGGGAAGTATAGCGCGCATATTTGCGCTTTTCATGCATGGCCAACGGAATTTCGGGTCATGCGCAAGTCATCGCGGCAACTCCATTCCTCCTTTTGGGTAAAACATCCCTTGCCACTAAGACGAGTCGCTGTACTCAATGCCTAATTCTTGCTCTTCGTTATGTGTGCTGGCATCGTCGTATGTGGGCTTCACATCTTCTAAATCATGAATCTCTTCGGGTTGAACAGCATAAGCCAGGCGACTTCTTGTTCGACGGCCGAAATCCGTTTTCACTGAAGGGTTGTCACCCAGGCTGTCAGAGTCTAAATCAATGAGTTCATGCCCTTGGCTAGGCTGCTGCTTGTTTTGCGCTTCAGCCGTGCGTGTACGTGGTCGGTTCGAGCGTAGAACGCGCGGACTTTTTTCCCCTTTTGGGACAGTCGTTGACCCCCCGGTTCTGCTTACCGTATCGGGAGCGAAATTTGACTCAGACTTCGGCCCTCTGGCCGCAGCGCCAGGTGTCGTATGCATTTGGCCAAAGTTTCCGGTTGTTTCAGTAATTTCTGGCTCGATGAGAAAGCCGCCCGATTCATTAGCTGAAAATTCTTCATTGTTTCTAGCAGAGTCGTCCATCATACCCTCAGTCGAAACGTTAATCGCAAGATCTTCATTCTTAGTGTCCTCTAGTAGAAATCCACCTTCTTCGGATGCCTCGGACTTCTCTCCAAAGATCGCATCACCAGCCAAAAACCCCCCGCCATATTCTTCATTTTCAAATTGGTCCTCAGTTACAGGCTGCGACCGCCTTGTTGGGCGTGGGATGTAGGCCTCATTATCGGAAATTTCATCATCGCTGCCGACACTGAAGTACCCTTCCTCGTCTTCTTCTTCTTCATCCTCCTTGTGTATCTCTTCTTTTTCTAGTGGAATGTCTGCATCTTCTCCACTATGTGTTACTTTTCCGTGGCTTCTATCCAATCTGCTGACGATTTGAAGCTTTTTCATGAAGAAGTTCCAACTTCTCAATGCGTTGAGCTCAACTGCTTCTCTCTTCTCCTGTTCCTCCTGTTCCCTAAGTCCATCTAACACCGCCAACATCGCCTCCTTGTACTGCGCGTCGATGAGTATCCCTCCCTCCTTCGCTGTGGGCGCCCTTTTATTTTTCAGGGCTTTTCCGAACTCGAAAGACACAATCGCTTTGGCGTAGTCTATGTTTAAGACCCAGCGAGCTGCATTTTCGAGCATCTTCATGGACACGTCACGTGTGATTTTCAAGAGAACTCCGTTTTCGGGTACCATTGTAGGCCTGAAGATTTCCACGTTTCCGTATGCATTCTTGGTGATTTTCCCATCGATGATTGGAGGTGGTATATAAAGCTCTGTCTGAAATTCAGCGTAAAGTCTGACTATGCCATCGTCATCCCCTTCTTCATCTGCAAACAGAATATGGGCCTTTTTCGTTTTTAGGGGCTGCGCCCCAACTTTCAACACCCTACCACTCATATGCCAAGCCTTAGGCGTTTTGAGCTTGTGCACACAGGATCTCTTGTAGACGGGCATAATACTGCTTTTGTTTGACGAGCGGAAAGTGCCGCATTTGCTGGTCTCGTCATTGGGATAGATTATCTCGTCCTGTCTTAGCTGGGGCTCTAAAGCGTACACAGGGTGGTTTTTAAAGTCGGCCATATTATTTGGCGTTCCCTCACACACGTGTCGATCATGAAACTCCTTCAATTCCATCGCCTCCGCTTGCGATATAGACCCTTTCTGTTTGCCTATGGATCGAAGAACCCGGCTGTACCAATGTGCATCTTCGTCAGACGCAAATCCAATACGCTTCTTGACTGTTTTCGCATTGTAAAACTGAGTGTACCGTCGTGTTACATCCTTGATGACATTGCGCTCGTCGTAAGCAATCACATACCACGTCTGGTGGGACTCCTCTGCTGCTGGTGCATCAAATTTGCACTTCCGTCGCATAGGCATGACTTCAACAACTTTGAAAACAATTGGGTCCACCGTGATCCATTTCCTTGAGTATTTGTTCCACACTTCTATCCAAAAGACAGGATAATTTGGGTTTTCCACCTCTTTCTTCTGATGTGGTTTCTCAGGCATCTTTCTTTTGCGAGACCGTATCCCCGATAGCATAGCCTGGCGCGGATTGGGAATGAAAACGGGATCGAACTCAGATTTAGGCTTGTTTGTTTCTCTTATCGGGTTCTCTTTTTCTCCTTTCTGATTGGATCCATCTTTCACTGGTCGAATGGATCTGTAATCCGGAACTTGAACCGAGAATACCAAGCGTGCATTCACACCCATGGACCGAAGGACCGCAACAAAAGCCTGGGCGCCAACATCACGAGACCCATGGAATGTTTTGACACATTTCATGAATCTTTCAAAAGACATGATTCTATCTTTTTCTTCGGTGGTATTTCCAGTCGAGCTCCAATCTCTCCGCTGAATCCCGGGAGATGTGACCTTGAACTTTCTAGAAAAGACCGTCAGTAGCTTCCGCAAGCCATCGACAAACCTCTTTGCCTTCACAACACTCAATACATCTGCGTTATCCTGGTGAAACAAGCTCGCGATTTCGGCCGAAACAGTCTTTTTGAGCATGTCCAAAAGCCGCCTATCGCCACACCACCTGTTTCGTATGGCCCCATGACAAATCATGGAGAAGAGGACTAATTTATGAATGAGCTTGCGCATTATCCGCTCTTGCTTCAGTATGGGAACAAACGTACGCTTCTTCCTAGCTTCACTTCTTTCTTTGTCTCCATTATTGATGGAGAAAGTAAGTGTTTCGTTGCCTCTGTCGCCATTCTGGTTTGCTTCGTCAAGAAGGTCCATATCAACATCTTCTAGGTCATCAAAGTCATCTGAATCGACTTCCAGATCCAGTGAAGTACCATCGATTTTGGCTGTTTGTGCTTTCCCTTTTTCTGTCACCTCGTATGTGGGCGAGGGCTCTACAGATCCGCGTCCATTGTTTGCTATAGCCTCGAGATCCACGTCTTCAAGATCCACGTCTTCGAAATCGTCCGTTGATTCAGAGTCGACCTCCACAGTCTCTGTAGGAGATTGTTTCCCAGTCACTGTTCTTCTTCTCCTCCTTTTTGCCGGGTTGTGAGCTTCAGATGTTCCTAGAGTTTCACGAACAAGTGCCTTGTGCGATTGGTTAAATGACATTCTGACATGCAAATCTGATGCTTGTATTAGTTTGGTTCAGCGCCCGTAGTGTACCCCGTGATTATCTGCGTTTGATTGACTTGCATGCAAATTCCAAAAGCTTTCTATTGTTTGAGTTTCTCTTGTTTGAGGTGCAGTATTCTTCTCAAAATCTTAGTTTAGAGAACCGCGCGTGTTGCGTTGTATCACTGCGAAAGTGGAAAAGTCAACCCATTTGTAGTTTACCAAACACTCTCCAAAAAATGCAAAACACAAATAATTTTCTGTGCTCTCAGGAATTGAGAGATACAGGGAAATGAAGCCCTCTTATTCTGGGAGTGAAAAAAAGGAAAAATATCGCTTGTTTCCAATGTCCGCGTAATCATCACCACTGGCGGTGATTTGAAATGCGCACATTGGCCAAGTTAGAGATGCATGGGGAAGCGATGGAAGATGGGTTCTCCTTAATGGAAACGAGTCCTCACGGAGTCCTGAACTGATACTCTAGAATAAATCTGGGTCAGCTTAGGCTCAGCCGATCGGTGCTTCGTGGACGCCAACTGCAGTCTCATTTCCCCATGTTTATCCAGAGCCAGTGTGCGCCTATCCGATGCGCACCTCGATGTCCAAGCCTCACCTCCGGATCGGTGAAAATTAAGACTGAAGCACGGGTCCTCAGGTGTGGGCCAAAAACAACAACAACAACAACATAATTCAAAACCACATGCTTAACCGAAACACATACAAGTGTCGACTACGACCGTTGCTGCGGTGGCTCCACACAACCACTGAGCCTCCAGTATACCGCCGATTGGCAGACCGCACTCATCGCAGCATGTACGCAAGTTTGGAGCGAGAGACAAACGTCCATCGAGCTGCCAAAGCAAGCGTCAAAATCAAACCCAGGATCAGCGACTTTCTTATTTTTCTTCGCAGGAAGCAGGAACACAAAATAGAGCAAACCACGCTACGACCTCTGGGGCTCCCGCTGCTGTATAAGGAAGCTGTGCTCATTGAAACAGTTTTGTTCCATATTTTGACGTGTTTTCACTCGAGCGAGGCCGACCTCGCATGGATTGATACCCAGGCTGATCGATTGGCTTTCTTGCATCGTCATATCTCTGAGCGGAAAAAGGGGGCCGTCTCCGGCACGCATTTCACCACGGAAGATGCGCATACGCTAGCCCAGAAGCTCGGGTTCTCGATCCTGGAACAGCAGCACTCAGTGCTCGTTCAGGCGTTGAACTTGATGTCCATAACATGTCCCAGTATTTTGAAAATTGATACCTTGGTTCCATGGATACGCTCGCTCTGTGCGGCCAGAATCACCGAGGCCTGCGCTGAGTTGACTAACTTGACCGAGATTCCAACATGCGTTTCTTCAGACATTCTTCTCCGAACCCCACTTAGCATTGACGAGGTTGCACTTCAGCTCGACCTCTGGCAGACATTCATAGTGCCAATCGCCCAGGAATACCACGAGAGAAGGACACATGTAACCAGCATCATTGAGAACCTTGTCTTTTATACTGCCCAATACGAGCCACGCAAACTTGAGACTTTTTTACAGGGTACGCTATCCCTGTTGACGTCAACGAGGTCCGGCTTCACGTACAAGGTCATGACCAACGACTTTGTCAACTCACTTATTTATTTTTTGGCACTCACATTCATCAAAAACAGCGCGGTGAGCCTGGCCTCACCCATGCCCAGCATCAAAGCCCAAAAGATTCTTGTGGAATACTTGGGCAACGAAAAGCTTTCCCAAAAGGGCTACGTGGGGATCACGCTCCTCATCTCACACGAATCCGAGGACAAAGCCACCCGCTTGTTGGACCTCACCAGAACACGCTTTCCTGAGGAATCGGAATTCGTCCACTATGCGAAAATCTATCTTTCCAACACGCCCGAGGAGCTCTTGCACACATTCAACGTTGCCATTCTCCAGCATCCGCTCTCGGCGACCATGTGGCTCATGCTCATCAAAAAGCTCCAGCAGCTCCACTTCCTCACTGAGAAGCGCAGCCAGCAGATGCTCCTGGAGTTGCTTGCACGCAAACAAAACATTATCATATCCAAGGACGTGGTGTTGGTGTTGCTCAGCCTGATCGAAAGCATTAGCGGGATTGAGGACTTCATCCAGGCGCTCCAGAAACTGGACCTCTTCGTCAAGTTCCAGGGCATCGTGCTCAACAAGTACATGTCACTCCTCTATCGGTACAACAATGAGAAAAGCGTACACAAGCCATACTTGGACAAATTCATCCACCACACCTCCAACGTCGAGTGCGCACGGTACCTCTACCAGCGCAATGCGTGGAAAACAACCGGTATCATTGGCGTCATGTTACACGGCGAGGCCAGCCACCGCCCCGGTGACCTCTACCAGCTCTACTGCGACGAGCTCCAGGGCAGTGTCCCAGACGAGGCGTGCTTGAGCGCCCTTCTCCGTGCAAGCATGAAGCGGGTCAATGGCAGACCGCTCTTGTGGGGCCTGCTCTACGCGCCGCAGGTGGCTGTGCACGAGTTCAAGCAGTATGTGCTCAGCGAACCCGTGGCCAAAGACTCGAACGTGTGGGGCATTGTCGCCTCCAACAGGTTGTGGCAGGTCTACATCCACGCACTCCGATCAGCGGAATACACCGCGGAGTTGGCGGACATCATGCGTTGGTGGGAGGAAATCGAATTTGTTCCCTCGCGCAGCACCTTGACCCTTCTTCTCCGAGCATTGCCCCCCGAGTTTGCTGACCGACACATCAAACATGCGCACTCGCTTCCACGCACCAGTGTTTCGTGGCCGTGGCCTTCTATTGAGGAGGTCAGGGGTCACTGAATCTAGCAACCATTTTTTTTTACAAATGTTAAGAAAAATGTTACTGACGAGAATTAAGCTAGACGTCCCTCCTGACATTCTCCTGAGGCAATGAGGCTGCAACTCCCAAGAGTCAGTGTCCAGAGACTATCGGCACAGAAAAAGAGACCAGACAATCCGTGTGCCTAAAAAAAGATGGTTTGTGTCGACCAGGGGTGTTCACAAAAAAAGGACACCCGCCATCACGTGGATGATTGCGATCGTGAGGTGTTGGAGCTCCAGGGATTTGGCAGCCTTTTTTTTTGCAGCAGCCCGTTTCGGAGCCGGGGCCCGCCGCGTGTGCGATTTGCGCGGGGGGCCAATCAGCGACCCGATATCCGCCGGGACGAGCGCGTCCTATATATAAACCCCACGGCCGAACCCCAGAGATCGCCAGGATTCTCACCTGGAAAAAACCTTCACCGTCCGAAAGCCCCTTTTGATAATGTTGAGAGTCAACACCGGCGTCGCCAAAAACGTAGCAAGAAACTTCGCTGCCACTGCTCTGAAAATGACTGGCTCCATGAGAACCGAAACCGACGCCTTTGGTGCGATCGAGGTCGACTCCACGAAATACTACGGTGCCCAGACCGCTAGATCGAAAATGAACTTCGACATCGGCGGCCCTGCCGCCAGAATGCCAATCCCAGTCGTGAGAGCCTTTGGTGTTTTGAAGAAATCCGCTGCTATCGTCAACGAGTCTTACGGCGCTTTGGACAGCACCGTCGCTGGCGCCATCAAGCAGGCCGCTACGGAAGTTGCCGAGGGCAAGTTGGACGCCCACTTCCCCTTGGTTGTGTTCCAGACCGGCTCTGGTACGCAATCCAACATGAACGCCAACGAGGTCATCTCCAACCGTGCGATTGAGATCTTGGGCGGCGAGTTGGGCTCCAAGAAGCCAGTGCACCCAAACGACCACTGCAACATGTCCCAGTCGTCCAACGACACCTTCCCCACGGTCATGCACATTGCTGCCGTGACCGAGATCTCCAAGTCTTTGGTCCCTGAGTTGACCGCCTTGCGCGACTCCTTGCAGAAGAAGGCCGATGAGTTCGCTGACATCATCAAGATCGGAAGAACGCACTTGCAGGACGCCACTCCATTGACCTTGGGCCAGGAGTTCTCCGGCTACGTGCAACAACTCACAAACGGCATTGCCAGAGTTGAGGCCGTGATTCCAAACTTGTCCTACTTGGCTCAAGGTGGAACCGCCGTTGGCACTGGGTTGAACACCAAGAAGGGTTGGGACTCCAGAATCGCCGAGGAGGTTTCCAAGTTGACCGGCTTGCCTTTCAAGACCGCTCCAAACAAGTTTGAAGCGTTGGCTTCGCACGATGCCATTGTCGAGGCCTCCGGTGCCTTGAACACCGTGGCTGTCTCCTTGTACAAGATTGCCAACGACATCAGATACTTGGGCTCTGGTCCAAGATGTGGTTACGGCGAGTTGTCCTTGCCCGAGAATGAGCCAGGCTCGTCCATCATGCCAGGTAAGGTCAACCCTACCCAGAACGAGGCTTTGACCATGGTTGCCTGCCAAGTCATGGGTAACAACACCGCCATCACATTTGCTGGTGCCTCTGGCCAATTCGAGTTGAACGTGTTCAAGCCAGTCATGATCTCCAACTTGTTGAGCTCGATCAGATTGATTGCCGACGGCGCCAGATCCTTCAGACTCAACTGTGTTGATGGCATCAAGGCCAACACCGACAAGATCGAGAAGGTTTTGCACGAGTCGTTGATGTTGGTGACTGCTTTGAACCCAAAGATCGGCTACGATGCTGCCTCCAAGGTCGCCAAGAACGCGCACAAGAAGGGGTTGACCTTGAAGGAGTCCACCTTGGAGTTGGGCGTCTTGTCCTCTGAGGAGTTCGACGAGTGGGTCAGACCTGAGAAGATGATTGGCCCAAAGGACTAAATCCGCAACGCTAGTCTCTGCATCGCGTGAGTTCACGGACTGTACATACCCATAACCAAATAAACATATTTATCATAGAGGGTGATGCCTGCGTTGTGCGAGCATTGAATCAGTAGGCATCCAGCTTGCATGTGCTTTTGGCAATGAAGCAATGGAACAAGAATAAGCAAAAAAAGAACCAGCAACATCGAGAAATAAGAAGCAAGATTAGAAGCAAGATGATACGGATTGAGAAGGTAGAAGAAAAAAAGATGGAAACAAGAACGTAGGAACAGGAAAGTAGAAGCACAAGGAAAGATAATGTATAACACGAAGTAGAGTAAAAGGAAAAGAAAAGAGCAAGAAGAAAATGAGAAGTAGAAAACGAGAAGAGATGTGCATAAGAAGAGGAAAAAAAGAAGAAGAGAATTGAAAGAAGAGAAAAAGAAGTAGAAAATAAGAAGTAAATTAGAGGAAGAGAATAAGAAGCGTGAGGATGAGAGTCGCAGTCTTCAGCCGCCCGCGGGGCCCACAACCGTATATGCGCTAACGAGGCCTCGTCTTGCGAGATATACCGAGAGCAAGTAATATCCAGTATACATCAATGCCCCCCGACAAAATCCCCGAGCCCCAAAAACGACGTCTACAGACAACTGCGCACACCCGCATCCCCGCTGACATCGTGAAAAACAACAATGCCCGCCCTTTCGCCCGACTACAGTGTTTACTTGGTCACGGACTCCACCATGGTGCCGGAGTCCAGCACCTTTCTTAGGCAGGTCCAAAAAGCCGTGGAAAATGGCGCCACAATCGTCCAGCTTCGGGAAAAGAATATGCTGACCCAAGCGTTCGTGGCGCAGGCCAGAAGCGTGCTCGAAATCACCCGCAAGCACGGCGTGCCCTTGATCATCAATGATCGAATTGATGTTGCGTTGGCCATCGATGCCGACGGCGTCCATATCGGGCAGGACGACATGCCTGCGGGGCTAGCCCGCAAGCTTCTAGGCCCCGACAAGATCTTGGGAGTCTCATGCTCATCGGAGGCTGAAACTGCACAGGTGTGCTCGGAGGCCGTGGCAGATTACGTGGGGTTGGGCACTGTCTACGCCACGCAAACGAAAAACACCAAGAGCGTGTGCGGGCCCATTGGCACGCGCCGAAAATTGGACGTGTTGCGCAAGCACAACGAGAAAAATAGGCGCATAGCGTGTGTGGCCATTGGCGGCATCAACCAGGGCAATGTCGCCAAGGTCTTGTACCAGTGCCAGGTGCCCGGCCAGAAGTTGAACGGCGTTGCGGTGGTCTCTTGCATTATGGCGGCGGAAGACGCGGGCACGGCCACGCGGGACTTGGTGCTGAAGTACCAGGGCCGTTTTTCGGCCGACTGGACCGCCGGGTCGCGCCGCCTCGGCGCGTTCCATGCCAAGCCGCTAGTGCATCATATCACCAACAATGTGGTGAAGAACTTCAGTGCCAACGTGACTTTGGCCGTGGGAGGGTCGCCCATCATGTCGGAGTTGCCCGCCGAGTTCGCCGAGTTTGCTGCGTTGGCCATTCCCGGAAGTCTAGTGATGAACTTGGGCACCCCTAATTTGGAGCTATTGCATGTTCTCACTGCTGGGCTCCACACATACAACTTGCACGGGAAGCCCGTGGTGTTCGACCCGGTGGGGGCCGGTGCGTCCAAGGCTCGGATGGACGCGTGCCACCGGTTGTTGAGTGCTGGTCAGTTTGCCGTGATCAAGGGAAACCTCGGGGAAATCATGGCCCTCCAGAAACTCGCCCAAAGTGCCTTGCAACCGGACGGAGGAGACTCCGCAGCCACCATGCAAGGCGTGGACTCCACGGTGGAGATGAGCGACGAGCAAATCGCGGCCATAGCCCTTGCCGTGTCGCAGGAGTACCGTGCTGTGGTGGTTGTCTCTGGGGCCAAGAACACCATCGCCCAGGCCCCGACTTGCGGCGGCCCGTCGCGCGTGGAAGTGGTGCAGGGGGGCCACCCAATCATGGGATCGGTGACTGGAACCGGCTGCTCCTTAGGAAGCACTATCGGCTGTTTCGTAGCCTGTGCTAGCCACAGTAGATGCGGCACCTGGCAGGCTGCTGTGGACGCGGTCAAGTTCTACAACAAGGCAGGCGCACGTGCCGCCAACGCGTGTGGCGGACCTGGGGACTTTAGCATGAGGTTCTTGGATGAGTTGGCCCGGGAGCAGAGGACCAGAGACTCTGGTGACTAGGGTGTTGCATGCTGAGACATCCTCCGGGTGGGCAGGCGTGAGAGAGCGTGCAGTAAAGGGTGTGGCCGATGGAACTGTTCTGGTTCCAAAGGTGTGTTGCCTTTCAAGAATATAGCAACAGTAATTGTATTCCGAGCTTCGCAAGTCATGGGGTTTCGTGGCGGTCAAGTGTCCGAGGCTCTATGGAAAGACTTCTCATAGCACCTGAAAAGACCTCTCACAGCACCTGCTGCACATCAGACGGGTTTGCGCTGGGAGACTTGAATATGCGTTTCAACAAAATCCACGTTCTTTTCATTTACCGAGCTTGGCGTGTGAGCCACAGGCTCCCGCCGCGCTAAGTAGCAATGCCTTGGTCAGAGTGAGTGCATACCAATAGCCATTTTGAGGCGATGGATGCGTCGTCACCAGCATCTTCTCGCCAGCTGTACTGGTTGTCGTCGCGGTCTAGGCAGTTCCAAGACATGCGACATGGCGGTGCCTAATCACTGCTTGATATTTTGGGTCGCAGGTGTTCAGCAGATGCCCGTTGCAGAACCTGTTGACATCAGGCACGAGACCTCGGCCAGAACCCGACATTGGAACGCGCTGGCGGTCTCTTCATATCGATCCCAATCCATCTGTCAGGCACGAAATCGTCCTTCCGTGCAATGCAATGTCCATACCCACGCTTGAGACACATAACTGGATAGACAATCCGAGGATCAGGAGCGGATTCAAGGTTGGAGAGAAGAACCCTTCTAAGAATCAGGGGAACCACCAGAGTCTGGAAGCCCAAGAACCCGCAACTTAAGCATGGATCCTGAGCAAGATCTGAAGCCGGGGCTGGCGCTCGGAGCCAGACGGGAGTTCTCTCCATACCCAGACCATGTATAAAGCGTTGGACGTACCATCCTCGAGCACGTTTCCATTAGAGCAGCCCAAAGTAGCGATCTGGAGCTACTTTCGTGAGAGTCCGCAAGAGAAACGTGCCAGACTCCAGTGAGGAAAACCTTCCACAAGAAGATCCCAGCGAGCTCATACGTTCCACACTGCGCCCATTCTCCACGGATCGAAAAAGGGAGCTTTGCGTCTGGTCAAATCGGCGGAGCGCCGGACACCGCCATGTCTTGGTTGACTCCAGCAGATGTCCCTGCCCGGCCACGCCTCATCCGGCACGGCACGGCCTACCCCATCAATCGAAGCAACAGAGCCGAGGGCAGGCAGCCTGCACACGTGCGGCGCTGGCAAAGGAAGGCCGGCTGTATCAGTGGACGCGCTTGCAAAAGCGATATCCCAACCGGGACCCTGCATCATGCTCCAGGGTCCTGTGAACGGGCCCCTCAGTGCCCACCCGGCCCTGATCTGGCCGCCGCTCGGTGCAGCCTCGTGGGCCGGACAGCGCTCCGGCGAATAGCCAAAGTCCAAGTATCCTGACTGGCCTTTCTCCTGGGGCCTGTGGAAGAAGCCTCGGCACGATGGAGGCGCCAGTGCATCTTCTGAGCGCCATAGCGGCCAGGAGTTTTTGGGGCGGAGAAAGCGCGCCCTGGTCCGTCCAACAGGCACTGACCAGCAGTGAGAGTAGCAGTGGACGCGACACTAGAGCGACGCCGAAGACATCCGCACCAAAAGAGAGCACCAAAAACGTGAGTAACAAAGCCATCAGCACCAAAAAATAGCACCCGAAATTGGTTGCACCAGAAATTGGCCGCACCAGAAATTGATAGCACCAGAAATTGATAGCACCAAAATCGATCAGCACCAGAAATCGATAGCACCAAAATCGATCAGCACCAGAAATTGATAGCACCAAAATCGATCATAGCACCAGAAATTGATAGCACCAAAATAG